GGGGAGACACACCGACTGGCTGCCTCCCCCACACGCCTTGACCGGGGCTGGGGATCAAGCCTGCAACTGAAGTGCGTGTCCCTTGGCCAGAATCAAACGCGGGACCCTTCAGTCCGCAGGCCGACACTCTAACCACTGAGCCAAACTGGCCAGGGCAATTGTTCATATTTTTTATCTTCTTCTTAAAGAAGACCCTTCAACATTTCATGTGACACTGGTCTGGTGGTGATGAACTCCTTTAGCTTTTCCTTGTCTGAGAAGCTCTGTATCTGACCTTCAGTTCTAAATGATAGCTTTGCTGGGTAGATTAATCTTGGTTGTAGTTCCATGTTTTTCATCACTTTGAATGTTTCTTGCCACTCCCTTCTGGCCTGCAAGGTTTCTGTTGAGAAATCATCTGACAGTCTTATGGGAGCTCTCTTGTAGGTAACTAACTGCTTTTCTCTTGCTGCTTTTAGGATTCTCTCTTTGTCTTTAACCTTTTGGGCTCCTCTTGTTTGGGACCCTCTGTGCTTCCTGGACACGTGTGTCCATTTCCTTTACCAGGTAAGGGAAGTTTTCTGTCATCATTTTTCCACAGAGGTTTTCAATTTCTCACTCCCTTCTTTTCCTCCCAGCACCCTGACGATGTGAATGTTGTTATGCTTGAACTTGTCCCAGAGAATCTTTACACTATCCTCATTTTTTTCGATTTTCTTTTTGCTGTTCTGATTGGGTGTTTTCTGCTTCCTTATCTTCCAAATCTCTGATTTGATCTTCTGTGTCGACTCCACTGTTGATTCTGTAATGTACTCTTCATTTGTGACTGGTTTTAATGTATTCTAGTTCCATTACATTTCCTGTCCCTTTGTTGAAGTTCTCACCGAGTTCCTCTACTCTTCCCCTAAGTTCATCGAGAGTCCTTATAACCAGTGTTTTGAACTCTGCATCTAGTAGATGGCTTGTCTCCGTTTTCTTTAGTACCTTTTCTGGAATTTTGTTCTGTTCTTTCATTTAGGACGTTTCTTTGCCTCCTCATTTTGGCAGCCTCCCTGTGTTTATTTCTATGTATTAGGTAGAGCTGCTACATCTCCTGGTCTTGGTAGGATGGCCTTATGTAGTAGGTGTCCTATAAGACCCAGTGGCTCAGCCTCCCCCATCACCCACGCTGGGCACTCCAAGTGCCCCCACATTTTGGCTGTGTGCACCCTCCTGTTATAGTTGAGCCTTGATTGCTGTTGGCACGTCAATGGGAGGGACTTACCCCCAGGTCTACTGGCTGCAAGGCCTGGCTACGAGCACTGTGGAGGATCAGGTCTTGCTTAAAGTTTAAGCTGTGTTGGTGGTTCAGAGTCAGCCTACGGTTCACTTCTCTCCTCTGCACGTGTTCTGAGCCCAACAGGCACCCGTGAGTGAGGAGCCTAGGAAGCAGGCTGTGCTCTGAGCTCAGGCCTGCTGCTTCTGATCCTTCCGGAAGCCTGCTCCTTGGCCTCAGGAGCTCCCCACACCTGTCAGTATCCCCTCTGCAGATCAGTGGATGCACTTATGGCCTGTTACTCAATGTCCCAGAGCCCCTGTATCATATTATGTTGGCTGCTGCTTTAGTTATTTTAGATACAAAGGTCCCTGTTGCTGTGACTTGTCAAGTAGTTCCCATTAACTTTTAAAAACAAATGAGTTTGGTGGCTTTGTTGTTTTTCAAAACAAAACAACAGTCACTTGTATGTCTCTTTACCCTCGCTACTTCCTCTGCATTCACAGCTCCAGAACATGCAGTGGGTGACTTGGGGCCAGGGGATGGTGACTTGGGGAAGGACAAAAAGAAGCTCACCTTACTTAGTACCTAGAAATCAGAAACTCAGACCTGACCCCCGACTCGAGGCATCAAGCAGGCAAGACCACACATGCTGGCATCTGAACTTACTTCTGACCAAGAGTCATCACCATTGAGTAGATACTATAGACGTTGTCTGAAAAGCGAAGTGCCAGTATACTATACATGCATTAAAACAAACAAACCAAGAAGGAAAACAACACTAAAGGTGTGTTTCCAGGAATACCTCCGGCTGCCGTGCCCGAGCTTCCCGTCTTCTGCCTCGCCCCAGGAGTAGACCTCCCCTTCTGAGGAGAGGGCCAGGCAGTGCTTTCCCCCTGAGTTCACAGCTACTTTTCTGATGAGCACATGCTGGATGGACTCGAGCAGTGTTGGGGTAGACACCGACTCCGTTCCACCAACGCCCAGCCGGCCGCCGGCGCCGTACCCAGTGGCGTAGAGCTACGGCAAGAGAGAGCAGAGATGTTGATTTTATCCAAAACACCCTATGTTTTAGTCACTGAAACACAATCAATGCTCTGGACACTTCTACCTCAGAGAAATAAAACTTAAAGTTAAAAATCACAGGGACAGGTAGTTAAGACTCTATTTGTGCTTTATCAGAGCTCTAACAACGAAAGAAAAAGTTATCACTATTAAAAATACTGAACTTACAAAGTGTATTTTGAAAGTAAGGTCATTTTCCTAGAAGCACTTCTGTTTTGTCTAGAATGCCAACTATGATTAATACTAAGGAAACAAGAAAGACTTCATTACCTACCATATGCAAACCCCTGATAAAGGCACTCACAGAAAAGTTATAAGTAACATTTCAGCAAGGCAGCATGTCAGCCACACAACAGAATACACTACTTTCCTTTCACTCTAAGTGGTTACTGTTTTGGAACACAAAAACATCTTTATCATTAATTTTTTAAAAATCAGATTGCCATTTCCAAATGCATGTCAAACATCTCATTAGTATAAAAATTCAGTACTGTTTCATATTGTTTCAAATGTACTGCTGCATAAAAAGGAGACCTCAAGGATAAAACAACAAGCGAAACCAAGAGCACAGGTGGAGTGAGCCAGGCCAGCTCCCCGGGGAGGCAGGTGTGAGGCTCAGCACCCAGGCCAGCTTCTAATGAGGGAACATGGCAAAAGGAACAAATGTCACTTTTGGACGAGGTCACAGGGGCTGTGACTGCCGTCCTGCCATCACACTCTCGCCCCGCCGCCCTTGCTCCCTGGCGAAGCCAGCTGCCACGCTGCGAGATGGCAAGGACAGCTCGCGAGGAACTCAACCCTCCTCAGTACAGCCTCGAGGCAGCTCTGGGCTGGAGGACTGGGCTCAGCCACCTCTAGAGTCCTGCCCTGGGGAAACTACTAGGTGATTACCCAACTCACTGTATTAATCACCAAAGGAGAAGCCATCCCTGAGAATATTTTTAATGCAGAAAGTGTGTCTGACAAAAGCCAATATCCATTCATGAGCAGAAACAGAAGCAACTTCCTTAATGTGAGGAAGGCCACCTGCGCACACCACCAGTGAGCGTGTGGGATGTTCCGTCGCTGCTTCCTGTGCAGCCTGGACCCAGACCAGGAGAGTCCACGACAGGCCCGTTCACACTACCCTGCAGCCCACCCAGCACAATGGGCCCTTCCCCCGACACACGGGAGCTGGGAGGAAGGAGCAGGACTCACTCACAGACTAGGCCCCTCTAAAGAAGACACAGAAAACCTTGAAACGTACAAGAAAGAGCAGAATAAAATAACCAGACAAAGGCAACACATAAACCTCAACTATCTCCACACACCAGCAGCAACCTTTCAACAANGAAAGAGCAGAATAAAATAACCAGACAAAGGCAACACATAAACCTCAACTATCTCCACACACCAGCAGCAACCTTTCAAAACAGCATAACAGCAGCAAACAGAGAGGAGAACACCTAAGGAATCACTGACACGGAGCAGCTGTAACTCCCTGGTACAGACTCTGTTTCAAGGTAAGACTCCCGTTCAGAACTCAGGCAAGGCCACCCGGGAATCTGGTGGGACGGCTGCTTCCGGCACTCCAAGGCCGTTAACCGGAGATGAGGTTTCAGGAGGAATCCCGCCCAGTCCACGAACCATGCTCCCTCACCTTCCCATCAGCTGTGACCGCGAACAGAGTCTGCTCTCCACCGATCAGCTGCACAGGTCTGAGGGTTGCCAGGGCTTCACACGGAGTGGGCACTTTAACCTTTGCCCCTTCGATGCCCCCGAGCTGGCCCCTGTGATTGTGTCCCCACCCGTAAATCGTGCCACTGCCGCCAGCCGACAGCGTCCAGTCGTCGGGTCGCCTAGAGCCAACAGGAAGCGGACAGTTGGCACGGGGACCCACGTGGGAAACGCAGTCTCACACACAAGTCTGTGGTCTGGGTTAACGACCTGTTCATCCACTGTACGAGCTGTGCGTCCTGCTCCCGTCTGAAAACATCGTGGCTCTCGTGGAGAACGTCCATGCTTTCGCTGTCTGCCATTAGCTCACGGATCTTCTTAGCCACCTAGACGGCATTGTTGCGAGATTATAAACCAAACACTCATCTCTCAAGAACAGCAAAAGCAATACTGAGGAGAGAAGACGGGAGAACTCCCTTGTGAGAACACCCGGGAATGCCAACATCGACACTGGTTTCACGGTCAATATGCAACACCAACAATCATATCTAGTCTGAGATATTAAAAATGTTCAGGGAGTGTCGTTACATCTTCAGTTTACTAAAACTCTGACTGGAATTCACACTTCCACCTGTGTGCTGTCCTTACGGCAAACTCTGGCACGAGAAATGCTGCTGTCTTATATGCTGCGCTGTTTCACACACTAGGGCAGCAAGGGAAATGTTTCTGCATTCTAGACGTGATTCCAAAATCCCGCGTTGTACCTCATCGAGAAACAGCCGGGGCAATGGCGTCCGCTTGTCCAGGGCCACCGCCACACGGGAGGCCATGCAGTACCTCCGGAACCACGCCCACTTGTGTGTCTCAGCACAGCAGGGGAGGGTGTCTAGTTCCAAGTCACAGGCGAGAGCCACCAGTACCTGCAGACAGCCAAAATCAACAACACAGGGGCACTCAGGAACGCAGCTAATGCTCCCCCTTGCCGACAGTGACTGCCATAGACAACCTGTCATGGGATGCCACAGCCAGCCACCGTCACGGTGCCACGGACAGCCCGTCATTCAGGAACTCCTGATCCCAGGCCCACTGCTACATGCCCGGCCAGTGTTTTACCACCCGTTACGTGGGCCATTCCTACCCAGCTCCCAGCAATGCACCTGACACACAGGACCTAGAATCTGACAGCTACCATAACACTCCTCCTGAGTCAGCACAGCCGAGCAGCTAGCATGTCAAGTGAGAGGGCTTAGGTCACAGTCATTTCTGGGAAATGTTCACATTCAACCTCAGCAAGGCCAACCCATCTGCGGAGGCCTGACAGGTGATACCTGCAGGACAGTCTCCAGCTCTCCCACCGCTCCCGCCAAGCCCAGGTTACCTTGAAGAAGGGGCTGTGCAGCAGCTGCTTGCCGCCCCGCACGACAGGGTCCTCATACTCAAACTGCCGCTCCAGAGCTTCCGGAAGGCCCTTCACTAGAGCGGCCAGAGCGCTGCCTGAAAAACTCTAAGGAAACAACCAAATTACAGTCTCACCCGAGGCCACAATGCAGGGACGCTGAGTGTTTTGTTCCTATGAGTCAAATGTTTATTATATTGGTACCATCCTCCCTAAAAAATGAGTATTGGTATTTTCAAATAGGAAAAATAAACCTAAAAGGACAGGACAAACAGTAAGAGGGGAGATGGAAGTTCACCTTGGGACATCTGATTTCAGTAAAGCAACCCCCATGAGCCATCCCTTCCAGCCCACAAACCCGCCCCGAGTGTGGTTAGGATCGAATGTCCTTTAAACAGTAACCGCCTCCCCCAGCAAAACAAAGGCTCCTTGTCACATCCCACAAACACAACCCCACGGTCACAGCCATCGGGACGCCGCTGGGTTAGATCAAAGGCCAGCGCACTCAGTACAGGCAGCTACCTAAGGGGAGCCTGCCCGTGACAAGGCTGCCCCATTCTCACGCTGGATTTCCCAGCTCTTCCCCAAGTCGGGAACTTAAATGATTAGCCCGACATCACTCCCCGGGGCCGCGGGTCTAGAAGCTGGGCCGTCTGCTCCCTACCAAGGCTCTCGCCTCCCCGTCGCTGTCCCCCAGGAGCCGGCTGATGTTGATGGACTGTCCAAACTCCGTCGTCAGCAGCCTCCGCAGTCTCTGAAGGGCCCACATCCTGTGACTGGCAGCTGAAAAGAAGACAGAACATCAGGAGCTTGACCGCGTTTCCCATCGAGTGAGACGGGCGTGGCGGTAAAGACATTTCTACCTAAGGCGCTGAGCTGTGCGCACGCCGCCAGCGACGCGGCCAGGCGCGGGACGATGCTCCTGTTGGAAGCCAGATTGAGCCGGAAGTCCAGCAGGCACGTCACCAAGTCCATGGACGGGCAGGAGAGGACGCAGCGGTCAGAAAGGAGGTCTTTAGGACCTGGGGAACGAGCACCATGAAGTCCCGTGCCGGACAGGCCGAGGGCACGGGGAGACTCGCGCAATCTGACTGATGAGAACTGGGCCTCGTCCATGTGGAGGCCACAGGGAGAGGGTGCCCAAGGACCCGTCACTGCCCACATCACATAACTACATCTGTACTCTGACATTTTATCTGAAAACCAAGTGACTTAAGAACCCCAACCAGCGACAGCCGCTTTCCTGCTGGAGAGGGTGCAGCGCTCACACCTGGACGGCGGAGGCGGAGGGCCGCTGCAGTCTGACCCTCAGCGAGGTGGGGCCCGGGCAGAGCGTGCTCTCCACGCGGCAGAGAAGGCAAGCCACCAGCACTGAATGAACGTGGAGCATCCTCAGCGCTCCAGGCATCCAGCCTTGAGCACCGTAGCCCCTCACCTGCGGCCGGCATGATGGGGTAGACCGTGAAGCGCCAGCCCCACCCGTTCACGGAGCCGTCACTGATGAACTTCCACTTCAGCTCATCCCCAGGGATGCGCAGCTCGCTGGACCAGTCGGACCACTCCCGGCCTGGCGGAGGGGAACATACCCGGGGTTAGGCTCACCCCATCCCCGTCACCACAAACCTCTTTAGGCATAAAGCTGAACCATCCACACGGTGTCCGGAGAACGCTGGCACCTCCAACCCAAGTTCTCCTAAACTAGCGCTCACACTGCTCCAGGTGAGTCACATTTTACCACATCCTGTCCTTCAACACACAGTGCCAAGTCCTGGGGAAACTGAGGTGGGCACAGCCCTGATGGAAACGTCCCCACAGCTGGCACATGGTGGGAGAGGCCTGCAGAGCCCACACTGGGTCGGGGGCCATAGGGGCCTTCTGGGGAGGGTGTGATAGGACAGCCGTTACCCAGGCAACAGGAGGAAGAGCCCCAGCTCCCCACAGAGGGTGCAAGTGTGCACAGGCCTGAGCACACAGGCCACCTCGAGGGAGAGTGGAGCTGCCTGGCTGGAGCCCGGGGCTGGGGCACGGGGTGGCACCAGCCAGGGTTCTGCTGGGCAGGGCTCTGCAGCACTGTGGGAGGGGCCTGGAAGGACTCCTGCCTGAAGCAAAGAAACCAGGCACCACCAGCCACCGCTGAAAACTGCACTGGCATTTGAGAAGCTGCCAGAAAAACTCCGTGCTCATCCATGACTACACCACTTTACCCAAAGCTTTGGGCAGGGTTTAATAAGGACCGTCCTATAAGGAAGCTCTGCTGGGACTCAGCCAGCTGGCCCACACATTTGGAGTGTGGCTGCTTTCACTAGAAAGGCAGAGGGGAGACGCTGTATCGGGAGAAGGCTGCTGATCCCGGCTCAAGATGCAGGATAAAGTCTGAAAAGATGTGCACGTGCCTGCACTGATGGCTCTCAGAAGCCCTGTGAGCCCCGGCAGGTGTGGCCCAGTGGTGAGAGCATCAGCCTGCCCACTGAAGGGTCGAGGGTTCAATTCCTGCTCAAGGGCATGTACCTTACTTGCGAGTCTGCTCCCCACCCAGTCAGGGCACGTGCGGGAAGCAACCAACCAATGTCTCTCTCTCACATCAATGTTCCCCCCCACACTCTCTCTGAAAAGCAATGGAAAAAATACCCTCAGGTGAGGGTTAACAAAAAATATAAATAAGTAAACAAACAAATGAAAAACAAAAAGCCCTGTGAAAGAGCTTTTAACAAACCTCCTACACAGACAGACTATGGCACGTCTGCAGAGCAGACCGACCCGGGAAGGTCTCTCCACTCCAGCGCCCTGCGCACACGTACGGAGCACCCATGCTCTGTGGCACATCAACCTCTACCTGGTACAAGCCTGGCCCTCCCACAGGTCCCACAGCCCCGTCTCCAGCTGTCTGGGTGAGGCTGGGCCTCCCAGGCAGCCTGCAGCCCGACAGTGACCACTCTCACACTGCCTCTGCAGTGACGTGCCCAGAGGCAGGGGCAGGCACTGGGCAGACAAAACCAACTGGACTTGGCAGCTACACAGCTCACTGCCCCTCCTAAGCCTCGTAACAAAGCAGCAGCACTCCTGTTCAGTGGTGCTGCAGCTGTTCCAGGAGGTGGCAGACGTGCCGGCTCCACCTCCCGTCCCACCTGAGCGCACAGAGACGATCCTGTTGACGCCGTCCATGACTGTGAGCGGGTCGTGGCGCCTCTCCGTGGAGCACTGCCGGTCAAACTCCACCCTGAGTCCTTCTGCACCTGGAGGACAGGTGAGCGCGGAGCAGAGTGACCACTCCCACCTCACATACCACTTGGGAGACAACATCGAGCCTATAAGCATATGCGTAATGGAAATTTCCCCCAAAAAAGAGAGAAAAAGTACTTGAACCAGTGTAGTCAAAAATCACCAATTTGACAAAAAACACTAATCTATAGTTCCAAAAATTAATAAACCCAAGCTGGATAAAGCGATCCATACCCAGCCAGGTACGTTATACTGAAACTGTTGAAAACCAAAGAGAAAATCACGGAAGCAGTGAGAGGAAAGACCACAGCAACTAACACACGGGCACAGAGCACTACTGGCTGATTCCCCAAGGAAACAACAGAGCCAGAAACCAGTGGGGAGACGTATCTAACGTGATAAAAGGGAGAAAAGTCCGATCAACTGAGAATTTTATATCCACCAAAGTACCCTTCAAAACTGAGGACAAAATAAAAACAATCCCAAACACGCACATACGGAGGGAATTCACTGGTAGGGGGCATGCTCCAGAAAACCCATCCAAGTGCTTCAAGCAGACCTAAAGCGATACCATATAGGATCTTGAATCCACAGGGCGGAAATGTGGAAATGGCAATTACGCGGGTTAAGGGATAGGTATTTTTTTTCTTTCCTAGTCTTAATATTTTTAAAGGACAAACATTGTATAAAGCAGGCCTTGGGAAACAAGAGTCCACCGGCCAGATCTGTCCCACTTTCTGGGTTTGCACAGAATGGATTGTATGTTTTGAAAATACTCCATGACCTATGGAAGTCTGCCAGTCCCTGGCATAACGCAATATAGTTACAAATATGTTGCATAGATTTGTACTCTACAGACTATATATGACGTTAATAGAAAAAAGGAGGGGAGCCCTGGCCAGTGTGGTTCAGTGGGCTGGGCACCGTCCAGGGCATCGAAAGGCTGCTGGTTTTATTTCCAGTAAGGGCACGTGCCCAGGCTGAGGCCTTGACCCCCTGTAGGGGGCGGCAGGAGGCAGCCAATCGATGTTTGGCTCTCAAATCAGTGTTTCTCCCTCTCTCTGATCAATAAGCTATTCTTAAAAAAAAAAAAAAAATCCTTAGTGAGGATTAAAAAAAGAAATTCTGTTCTGTAAAACTGTGATCGCACCCCCACTGATGTAATTACAGACACACAGCCAGCGGGCCCGTCCCTCACGGCCTCGAATACCTGGGATCTTCACGGTGCCGCTGGAGGAGGTGTCGTCCGTGTAGGGGTGGCTACTCTCCACCACCACGGGCTGGGAGGACAGACGGCCACTCTGCGAGTCTGTGGCCACGTCTTCCAACTCGGTGACGCAGAGCTCCAGCAGCATGTCTGCCACCTGCGGGAGGAAGCGGGGACACAAACCACGCGGTCGCTGGGACGCCAGGGCTGCTCGCCTGCCCTAGGCCCTCATGCAGGGTCAGGCTAGCAGAGTGGACCTGGGAGAGAAATCTAGTTCCAATCAGGGCTCTCTGTCCTCGCCTACAAATTCGAGATAGCACAGGGCTCACAGAGGGGCTGTGAAGCTCAGAGGTGGCCCAGATACAAGGGGCCAGACAGGGAACACTCAACATGTGCTGACAAAGCCAAACGCCTGTGATCCCAACCGTTTTTGTTCAAGAGGAGAGAATTACCTAGTGAGGAGTTGCATTCAGGGAACAGAAGAAGCCGGGAAGGAGCAGAAAGGTGACCAAATGACCAGGATCCTAAAGGCACTGGGGATCAAGCTGGAGGGCAGGGGTCGAGAGGAACCTTCCAGCCACCCACCCAGACAAACAGCGCCCGGGCTGCAAACCCAGACACAGGTGGGGCTCTTGACCCCCCTACCTCCCTTCTCAACAATCCACAATGTCTTTCTTTCACCTTAAAATCTTAGTGATTCACACCATTTAAGTGGTCAACCTGGTGACTGTAAGCTCGTTTGCTATCTTTAACAAACAAGAACACGTCATTACAGCAATAACACATTAACCTACAAATTTTTTAATTTAGAAAAAAACACACAACTATCCTCTGTTCTATACATTTCCAAAATAAATACTTGCATTTCCCTGGTTTCCCTCATATTTAGCTGACAAATAGATTAGCTTAGTACCCAGCAGATGGACCAATATCACTGCCATCAGGTATCGTCATTATAAATTCAAATGTCTCTCTTTTTCAGAGTCCCCAATATTAGGGCAGGTAGGACCCAGGAGCAGCCTCCTGCCACTGGCCCAGGCAGTCTGAAGACAATCCCACCCTTGTTCCTGTCTCCCCTGAACCTGGTGGGTGTCACTGAGACGCAGATGCTGGTGTCACCCAACTCCAACTGCACACCCACAGGGTCCTCTAGGCTCCGAAACCTTCCTCCGCACAGCCTGTAAATCCCCGGGAGAGGGGTACAGAGGGTCACAGACACAGTTTGGCCCTCAGAGCTCAGGGCCCAGCCTCATTTCTCCCGCCCACCCGCGACCTGAGTGTCCTCTAGAAGCCATGTCTGGGGACCTCTGCCTCTGCTCTGAGAGACGTGCCGAGAATGGGCCCAGCAGGTGTGTGCACGACAAGGCTGGGTGTCGCCGCCTTAAAGGTATGTTCTTGTCCACAGCCTTTCCTCTCGTAAACGCAATAAACTTGTGAAAAATTAATGTTCTGCTTGGGCCCCGGCCGGGTGGAGCGCTGTCCCAAACACCAGAAATGGCTGCAGATGCGATTCCGTCACAGCCCATTCCTAGGGCGTGGACTCAATCCCTGGTCGGGGCGCACATGGGAGCAATCGATCCGTGTTTCTCTCACGTTGAGATTTCTCGCTCCCCTCCTCTCTCTCTAATCAGTAAACAAACCCTCAGCTGAGGATTTAACAATAATTAACATTCTGCTTCTGACGATTCCCCGTCATTGAATCTCTCAGAATTACGCCAAGTAACTCGCTGTGAAAAACTAGAAAGCGGGGAACCTGTAACTTCTAGATCTTCCTGAGGATGACTAAGAAACAAGCCCTAAACTATCCCCCAAGCCATTCGCTCTGTTCTCACGACCACGCAAGCACACTAAGTACTTCATGGTTTTGGGGTGACGTGGGGCCCAGAGGACACGAAGCATAGTGTCAGGCACCTACAGGGCGGAGCAAGGGCACTCACTGATCAGCGAGGCTGGAGAAGGCCCGGGACGTCAAGACAAGACTCCCACACAATACAGACTTTGTACCATAGGACAGCCATGTGTGGGTTTTAAATGAAAGAAAATGAAACTTCAGCTCCCCGGGGCATTCGCCACATTTCAAGTGCTCCATGGCCAGTGGAGCTGGGGGCGACCACACTGGAGGGCGCAGGTACAGGTCTCCACGGCAGAAAGTCCTACTGGGCCCAGTGCCACAAAATCCCGAAACCTGTTTTAAAGCTGTGACAGTCTAAACAGTGTGGTATTAGAGCAAAAAGAGTTAGACTAATGGAACAGAAGTGTCTGTAAATGAACCCAATACACAGAGGAGTTACGAATATGATAAAAGCAGTTTCCAAGTTACTGGAAAAGATGAATTATTCAATAGGTGACACTGAGGCAACATGTTTGTCACCTAGGAAAAAATGAAGTGGACCCCAACTTACCCCTACATCAAGATAAACCCCAGATGACCCAAAAAGGCAAATGTAAGAAATGAAATCACAGAAATTATTAGGACAAATGGGTTTCTTGCAACAATGTCATGTCAGTAAGCTTATTTTCAGCATAATACAAAAGCCAGAAGCCATAAAAGACAAAATCTGGCAGACTTGATGTCGTAAAAATTAGAAATTTCTAAACAGCTAAAAGCTTCAAGGTGACATCAGGGAAAACTGGGGGACAACTGTAGCACATCTGATAGAGGAAGGCCCTGCTTACAAGGAGCCCTTCTAAACTGCTGTCTACTAGAATGAAATCAGTCACCAGTAAGTCATGATAGCGGCGACAGCACCGCCTGTGGAGAGAAGGGCCACACCGCCCCCCGCGGCTCACCTGTGGGTAGGCAGTGCCCATGCCAGACAGCACAGCCGAGAGCACCTCCCTGCCCTTGTCCCCCGCCCGGCTGCACACGGACAACTTGAGCAGGTCGACCAGGACACGGGTGTCATCTGAGACCAGCAGGCTGGTGAACTCATCCAGGGCCTGAGGCTCTGGGCCTGAGGCTTTACTTTGGCTTTCAGCATCCTAAAAAGTCCAACATAAAAGGAGGAATGACGTGTTAGGAGAGTCACCAGCTGACCCATGAACTCAAAGGATATGTGACTACCCGAGACAAATAGGGGACTTTATATGAGGCCTTTAAGACCAGGAAATGCCGGGTTAAGAAATGACAGTTCTCTTAAGATCCCCACCACCATGCTCTATGCTTTAAAAACCAGTGAATGTTTTACAAATTAATAACAGCATCTGTCAGAGGAATGCTTCGACCAACCACTAATAAATGACAATTTATACTGTGACCATGTTGGTCTTGCAGATTCACTGCAGGCGCAGGATAGGAACGAAGTCGCGACGTGCAGAGTCTGCCCCTCTCATAGGACAGGCCTGGCGCCCTCTGCCCCCTAAGTCTGCCCTCTGCTCCTGCATCTGTCTGGATCCTCTGCCTGACTCCTAGAATCTTTGTGAAGCGCCTCACTGGCGCGAACACCTTTCCCATAACCTCCTGTTCCTTGGGTCCTCTGAAAAAAGGAAAAATAAAGTAAGAGTTCATCCATCTCTGTGGTCTTGAGGAGGAATGTATCTGCCAAGAAGGGCTCCTCGGGGCCACTGCGCTCACACTCACGACCAGAGTCCAGCAGTCACTGCCGGCAGATGCTGCATTTCAGGGAAAAGCCCAGACTAGCTGCCAGCCCCCAAATGTGCTCCTGCCACTGAGCCCACCGCACAGAGGAGCTGCTGGCGCTGTGTCCACCAACACGCCGAGCCCGGCCCCTTCCAGTTGGAGCCTCCCAAGTATCCTCATATGCGTCTAAAGCAACCAATCCGAATGTACAATGCAGACCAATCAGGACGGCACTACGTGGGCGTAGATGTAAATACACTATTGGGACAATGAGCACAATCTGAGCAGAAGATAGATTAAAAAGTCCTGACAGCCCTGGCCGGTTAGGCTCAGTGGTTAGACCATCAGCCCTCGGACTGAAGGATCCCGGGTTTGATTCCGGCCAAGGTTGCAGACTCAATCCCGTCCCAGTCAGGGCAAGTGCGGGAGGCAACCAATTGATGTGTCTCTCTCCTATCAGCGTTTCTCTCTCTCTCTCTCCCTCCCTCCACTCTCTCTGAAAAGCAATGGAAAAAATATCCTTGGGTGAGGACTGAAAGGAAAAAAAAAGTTCTGACACTCAGGAGTTCGCACTGGAGCATGGAGGAGGGACGGGCTGTGCCCAGCACTTGCCCAGCAGTGGTGCAGAAATGCTAACAGAGGCCCTGGGTGAGTGGGGACAGAGTACACCATGTTCTGCCCTATGTACTGCTTCTGCACCTTCCGTGGACACTTAAGGCTATTTCAAAATAAAACACTCAGGAAGCCCCTGGACCTCTTTGGTTTTGGTCATGGTTTCTGCAATGATGCTGGCAGCTCCCGGGTCATCGGTCACAGGGATAAACGGCCGAGAAGAAGCTGAGGAAGCGGACGGCGTCACCGCGGCGGGGGTCACGGCATCCTCAGAGATCATCTAGTGCAAAACACACAAGGAGAGGAGCAGCTCAGCAACACGGCACACGTCCCCCCTAAACCCTTGGCCGCCGGGAAGGAACCGGTTTCACAGCGTGGCGAGTGCTCACAGCACCACTACCTCTGCGGTGGGCGGGGCAGCCCTCAGCCAGTACTTTCCCCTCCTAGGGGGCCTGTGAATAGTCACAGCAGGCCAGGAGGAGGAGACAGTGAGTCACGTCGCTGCACGTTGGGTTTTTCCTTAAAATAAGTTACAAATGCTCTTGACTTTAAGAGCTGTAAGGTTTCAGAATTGGAGACAAAGGACTGTGGATTTGCATTTAGCAACTTTTTAAAAGAATAAGTTCCCTTTAATGCTAAAAAAAGTCTCCTTTTTAAAGAGAATATTTTCTAATTCAATCCAAAAATCACAGCACTAGGCAGCGAAACACTGAATTAAGTGAAGGAATGCCGCAGGCTTGCCTGGCCCGCCCCTTTCTGACCCAACGCTGCCTTATCTTTATCTTACCTCCCCTCTCTTTTCCTGCCATGGACTTGGACTCAGTCTGTCTTCAATGTCAGCAGCAAGCACGCATTCCTCTCCGTTCATGGGACTGGCCGCGGCCGACACATCGGAAGGGGGTGCCGAGGAGGGGAACGAGGGACACTCCACCGGGGCGATCATGCTGGCCGGCATCAGGGCCCCAACCACGGCGTCCCTGTGAGGAGAGAAGGCAGGGCCTCGGGTGAGCTGCCCTTCCTGCCGGACAGCGGGCAGGAGGGCCAGTGCTGACCGAAGCGTCTCCTCACTTTCACAGGTTACATAGAATAGTTTAGGAAAAACACAGGACATGATTACAATGCACTCATTGCCTAAATGCTGAGACATTTACTCCTGATCCAAGTGCCCACAGCGATACCATGAGAAAAACTGCCAAACATAAAAGTCACAGCACAATATGCCTCTGGGTTTCCCTGAGGAATCTTCCTGGGTTTGTGTTTAGGCCGCAGATCAAGGGCCACGTGAAGGAGGCAGCCAGGACCCAGCGTCCTGTCAACGATTGTGTGGCCTCTGGTCTGAAACTGCTGTTTCCATAAGCATTCACCTCTCATCAGGTCCATCACCAGGACCACCAAGAGATGAGTAACTTACTCAGGCTGGAAAATAGAAGCAAAATATTGGAACACATCCGCTCATCAAAACCCTGCCCTACTGAGGGTGAGTAAGAGGGTAACAAGTGGCCTGAGACATTCCTGAACCTCAGGATCAGCTATTCTTCCTCTGCCCCTACGGTCACGCTTAGAGTCCCTGGCCAGGAAGAGTAACAAAATGTTCTCTGACTTGGTTTTCTGATTCAGATTTCAACTATCAAAGCTCACAGCACTTAAAGGCAATAACACACCATTCTTAGAGATATTTGATCAAAAACTACAAAAACCCAAAGCTTATATAATTGTGGGATTTCAAAAGCTAGCAAACCCGCCTACCTGGCGTACATGATCTGCAACGCGGTGAGTATGTGCGACAAGGCCTGCTGCTTGGCCAGATGCCCATCCAGGGACAAGAGAATCTTGGCAAGAGAAGGGCGGTTTGGTTTAGAGTTACTTGCACCACTGATTTTATTACTGGTGGCAGAAGAATCTGCATCTGAAGGCACACCTGGAGAGAACATGAAAATGTGGGTCTAATTTTTAAGATCACAGTTTGTTCTATTTCTGTAATTTAATCTTTCAGTTTAAACACACTGCAATCTCCATTTTGCTATTTCACAGATGAGGTATTAGGTTAATTAATGGTATTTCAGAGTAAAAAATGCACTTAATCTATCTTATTTATACTTTCATAAGGAAGCTATTTTCAGCAAAGTTTCTCTGTAACTGCAAAACAATGTGGATACATTTGTAAAATACACTTACAACAATTTACGTTGTATGTATAAGCTGTAAGAATGCTGCAATATCTACCTATATTTACTGACCCTTTGAAATGTAAGACAGAACCTCTAAAACAATGGAAAGCAGACAAGATGTCCAAAGTAAACAGTCTCACTAGACTTATGGTCCAGCTCACTGCCAAGAGTTCCTAGTCCTGGGCAGAGGGAGGGGAACCAGGTGGAGCCCAGGTGTCTCGTGAATACAGGAGGCAGGGACCAGAATGAGGGAGGCCTGTGTGGTCAGAACTCACAGGACAGGACCAGAGAGGATCTGCCTAAGAGTGCCCCAGAGATGTGAGGTACTCCGCTCGTCCCAGCCGAGGGTGCAGCAGAAGTTGATGGGTGCCCGTGACGGGGGCACTGCCCAAAGCCAACAAAAGCATAACATGAAAGGACTGAGGCCCAGCACACGGGCTGGAAGAACGGAGAGGGCCCAGCATAGCATCCACTCCCATCAGCCAGATGGGAAGACCTCCAAAATCACAGGGTGCCTAGCAGAGTACTCAGAGGGTCTCCCTCAGTGGTGAGGAATAATCAGCCCCAGGCTAGTATCAGGCCAGAACCCGCCTAAATCCAAAACAGAGACCCAAGTGGGTGTGTTTCAGAGTAACTTAACTGTATCTAAGCTCGGGAACATTTATGGACTTAGGAACATCTCCAGGACATACAGAGTGAGTCACAGTGTGGCATCCAACCAAGTTACCAGGTAACGTTACCAGGTGAGCAGACACACAGGAAGATACCACCCCGCTTAGACATGAGAAGAAAAAATCAGTGTAAACAACCCAGAACTGACACAGACAAGGAAATTGAAACACATCTGTATTCAGTATGTCCAAAAAGAGAACTAGAGACATAAAAGATATAAAAATACCCACAACAAATTTCTAAAGAGAAGATGACGATATCTGAGATTATAGTCTGGTGACATTAACAGCACATTAGAAAATTAAGAAAAGACTAGTGAACTTAAAGACACAGCAATAGAAACCAATCCAAAATAAAACACAGAAGAGGAAAAAAATGCAAAAAATGAGCAGAGCATCAGTTACCCATGGGACAACTGCAAAAGGAAGTAGAGTTCCCAAAAGAGAGGAGAGGGGAGGGAAGGTACAGAAAAAATTGTTTTGAAAAAACAGAGTGAAAAAATCTCGACATCTGATAAAAATTATAAACCCAAACACCAAAGAAGCACTATGAATCGCAAGCATGAAAAACATGAAGATTACACCAAGGCACACTGTAATCAAATTGCTCAAACCCTGGGGGAATAAAGAAAAAAATCTTAAAAGCAATCTGAGACAAAAGACACATTATGTTCAAAAGAACAGAGATATAAATGACAACACATTCTCAACGAAAACAATGCAAGCTAGAAAACAGTGGGACCATGTCCTTAATGTATTGAAGAAAAAGTTGTCAACCTAGAATTCTATACCCAAAATATTTTGCAAAACATGAAGCAAAATAATGACTACTTCAGCTATTAAAGGTGCATAATATACACCCTAGTGCAATTACTAAAATAACACAGAGTTCACCGAAAACAAAGGAGAAAAAATAAAATCATAAAAAATAATTAATTCAAAGGCAGGCAAAAAAAGAGACGACAACAATGAACAGCTAGAACTAACAGAAAATAAATAGCACAATGACAGATTTAAAACCAATACATCAGTAACCCTGTTAAATATAAATGGATTAAACACCCCAATGAGAGATTGTCATAGCAAATTTTAAAAAGCAAAATTCAACTACATTTTGCCTGAAAGGAAGCTTTTTTTAATATAAAGACAACAAATTAAAAGTAGAGGGGTGGAAAAGACATACCCTAGTATATCACATGGCTTACTTATGGTAAAGCACTGACCAAAAGAAAGCTAGAAAGGGGCTCATTATATCAGACAAATTACATTGAAGAAAGCAAAGAGCTTTGAAGCAAAAGGAGAAAGCAAGTAATTATCACGACAGCAGAGACAGTTAATAAAAGACAAAAAGTAAATGTCTACATCCTACATCAGTGACCTAAGCTTATAATGTAAGAAACAGGAAGATCCTACAGCAATGACCTAAGCTTATAATGTAAGAAACCAGAAAAAATTAAACCAGATGAAGAATTTAAAAAGATTAGCACAGAGATCAGTGAAATAGAAAAAAATTTAAAACCCATAACTTGTGATTTGAAAAAATTAATAAAACTGATATGTCTCTAGGCAAACAGGAAAGAGAAGATACAATCACCAAGATAAGGAATGAGAAAGATGAATCACCACAGACCCTCTAAACACTAACGGAAAATAAGCAAATACTGAGACCAACTTTATGCCAATAACTTCAACAATTCAGGTAAAACAGACAACTTCCATTAAACATATAAATCTTACTAGAAAGGAACTAGATAACCCTGTATTTAGTAAAGAGATTAAATTTGTGGTTAAAAAACAAACAAGCTCCACAATGAAAATTCTAGGCCCAGATGGCTTCATTGGTGAATTTTATTGAAATAATACCAATTCTACAAAAATTTAAAAGAAAAACTAGAAAGAAGGGGACACTTATCATTTCATTCCATGAGGCCAGCATTACCCCGATACTAAAACCAGACATGTTACTAGAGAAGCACAGACCAGTATCTCACACGAACACAGAAGGTAAGCATTCTTAGCTTTTTTTAAGCAAAATGAATCCGAAAAGGTACAAAAGGAGTAACGCATAGGTCAAAAGCCAAGTCTGAAAGAAATTTCAAAAGAACAAAAAAAATGAATGAGAAAGTAAATACAATGTATCAAAATTTGTGAAATGCAGCTAAAGCAATGCTGAGAGGAAAATTTATAGTACTAAAAGTTCACATTAGAAAAAAGGCCTCAAATCAACTATCTAAGCTCTCACCTCAAGGAACAAGAAAAAAGCAAAATAACCCTAATGCAAGCATGAAGAAAGAACTAATGAAGACGAGAAAAGAAACCAATAAAACTAAAAAACAGATAAGCAACAGAGAAAAATCAAAGAAAAAAAGGAACAAAACCAATTGGGGTCTATTGAAGGAATAAAAGACTGACTCAAAAACCTGTAGGTGAATATTCACAGCAGGTTTTATTTGTAAGAGCCAACAACTTGCAATGATCCATATCCTTCAGGGTACAGTTAAACCACGGGACAGTAGTCATCAATAGAAATGAATCGCTGACAGGCACCGACCTGGCTGAATCTTCGGAGGATTATGCTGAATGGCATATGCATAATGTGCCGGAAGTGAAGATTATGGAACCACTGAGCATACAAACTGCAAAGAACAAGGCTGCAGGTCAGGCCTCAGCTTCACCCACCTCAGGAAAGAAAACAGCACAGGAAGGCTAAGTAACTGGCCCCAGTTCACACAGCTAACAGTTGAAGCCAGACCAGATTCCGGTTATTTTTTAATGGGATGAAGATTAAATGCTCTCCATTAAAGATAGGAAAAATGGTATTTATATTAGAATGAAGAACGCTGAACTTCCCCTAAAAAATCAATTGTGTTTCCATACAAGGAAGGATCTGACTGTATCTAGATAATAGCAAGAAACAGAAGAAATGTCTAAAATACCATTCATGACAGCATGAGCAACATGCAATCCTTAGGGGTAAGTATAACAACATATACCAAGACCTGAAACTACAAAACACTGCTGAGAAAAATCGAAGAACTAAACAGATGGAGATAAATACCACATTTTGGGCTGGAAGATTCAATATTGTGAAGACAGCCCAAATCGATGTATAGTCAATAGAGTCAAAATCCCCAACAGGCTATTTTATAAAAGTTGAGAAGCTGATTCCAACAGTTCTATGGAGATGCCAAGGGCCTAGAACACCCAGAGCATACCTGAGCTAGAACAAAGCTGAAGAACCACCACAGCCTGCATTCTGGTCTTTCATGAAGTGACAGTAGTCAGGACAATGTGGTCCTGGCACCAAAATACAAAAATACATCAGCAGCACAGAACTGCAGGCCCAGAAATAGGTCCACACTTCCATGGATAACTGACCTGACAAAGGTGCAAAGCAATTCAACAGAAAAAGGACAGCTTTTCAACAAGAGCAACTGAAATAACTGGACACTTAATACAAAAAAAAATAGATTCAATCCACACCCACACACCACATATAAAATTTAACTCAAGATCAAGCACAGACCTTAATTATGTAAAACTATAGAACTAATATTTTAAAAAACACACACAGAAAAAGAGTCTCTATGATCTGGGCTTTTTAGGTACAATACCCAAAGTATGATCCATAATGAAAAAAATGAATAATTTTTTTTAAAGTTCAAAACTCAAAACTTTCTGCTCTTTATAAAATTTACCTGTGTGGAGAATGAAAATACAAGTCATCTTGGGGGAAAATAAGTGCAAATCATCCCCCTGACAAAAGGCGTGGATGCAGAATAATAAAGAATGCTCAAAACTCAGTGACAAGAAAACAAACAGCCTAAATGTAGGCCAAAGATATAAAGACGCTTCGACAAAAGACATGTGGATGGTGGGTAAGCAAGATGCACAACGTCCTCAGTCACTGGGAAAGTGCAAAGTAAAACCAGAGACGCCGCAATGAGACGCATCTACAAGAATGGCTGAAGCTCAACACTGACCATATCAAGTGTAGGCAAAAACTCGGAGACGCTGGAGCCTTGTAACCCCCCCGCCCCCCCCGGGTATTTACCCTCCAGAAATGCAAGCGTGTCCGTGTGGAGACTTGTACACAAATGTCACAAAAACTCTATTTGTGTAGGCAAAAACTGAAAGCAGCCCAACAATCCATCAACAAGCCAGTGGGTGAAAACACTGCAGTACATCCATAAATGCTACTCAACAACAAAAAAAGAGTGAACTGGTGATACACACAACATGGGTGTTCTCAAAATTGTTAGGCTAAGTGAAAGTGTGGGATAAAGTACATACTGCATGATTATATCTTATAAATACACACATATAAAAGTCTGATAAAACCCAGCCCACAGTGACGAGGCAAGCGTGTGGCTGTGGGAGGCAGGCAGGCGCTGAATGGGGACGGTGCACAGGTTCACCACCCTGGGCAGCGACGCTCTCCCGGGGGCGCAGGTCAAAGCCGGTGGGGGCTGCACGAACCACACACGGCTCCCCGTATGCCAGCTTCACCTGAAGGGAGCTGATGAAGGCACCGAGCCTCGCAGGGCTGTGCATCCCACGCAGTTGTTAAGACTTCCCCATGTGCGTGCACCCAGTATGGGAATCAGCATCACACTTCTGAGCTCCCTTCCAGCCTGCAGAGCTCGCCGCAGAGCACCCAGGGGTCCCGCGGCTGTGGTGCAGGACGCTGAACACCACGACCGTGGACCCGGGCGCTGTACACTTTGTCTGTGACACTGCTGTACCGTAGAGGAGGGCCCACGTAAAACAGGAATCTGTTACCTAGGTAGGAAGCACCCAAAGGGTCTCTCGCAGTCTGGAACAGGACAGGCTCGTGGACAGACGGCGTCGCCACATCAACCGTCGTCCACGCCACACTGTGCGAAGACCCGCAGGCCACGCGCGTGATCTTCTGGCCCTCCAAGCCTTGCACAAGCGTGGGCTTCCTATTCACTGTGGTCGTGCCGTTGCCCTGCTGGCCGTGGTCATTGTCACCCCAGGCGTATACCTGTCAAGGGAGAAAAACAGTTTCTCAACATTTCAGAACATTTTCTTTAAATGTACTACATGCAGTTTCGGGTGTCCACTGGGGTCTTAGAACATATCCCACGTGGATAAGGGGGGCTGATGCTTTTCACTCCCTGGTTTTACAGAATTAGAAGGTATAACTTGTTTTTTATTCATTTTGATTAAAAAACAGTGCTAATTTGTTGTGATGCGTGAACTTTAAGAATATACCATCCATGATCCTGCCGTGGCAGGAGAGCCTCTGAAAGCAGAGGGACCACTAACACACGACAAGGTAACTAATCCCGAGGCGAACAACCTATCCATCCCTGAAGTAAGATAAGCAAGCGCCTGGCATCTGGGGCACCTTCCATGACAATCTCCTCGCACTTCCACAGGGACTCTGTAGTCAGAAAGCCACTCCTTACGACCCTCGCCCGCCAGGGACGATTTCCCGGGAGCCCCACCCGACAATACACACAGGAGCCACGTGGACACAGCCCGCCTCCACCTCCCGGATCTTCAAGAACCAAACGCATCTATCTCAGCGGAGTCGCCCTTCTGACAGGGCTCGTTGGCCCAGCTCACCTGCCCCGCATCCGTGACGGCCAGGCAGTGCAGGGCGCCGACGGCCACGTGCACGATCCGCTTTCCCCGGAGCCCCTCCACCACCTGCGGCTTCCGCACGTGCACGTCGGAGCCATGGCCCAGCCGGAAGTAGTCACCTTTGCCCCTGCGGAGTCAACAGTGAGCATTAGTGCACGGTTGGTCAGTCCACGGGAGGACTCCTGCTCAGGGCTCCGGAGCAGCGCGGCGGGGATGCCACACGGTGCCCGAAGGCGGCGAGGTGCATCAGCCTACCACTGCTCCTGCTGGTGAGACCGTGATGGGTGCTCCCAACACTGAAATTACCCACGTAGGTTTCCATGTAGAGACTGAAAACATGACTGGTGACCCCAAATGTCGCTTAAAGTCCTCTCTGGTGTCTCTCTTTCTCCAGTTACTCTGGGTCACGACACTTGCACTAAGGCCCAAGGTCACCGGGGGCCCACTCCCTTTGCATTTATTAAAACCCAAAGAAACACAAGAAACACAGGGGACCTTATCCAGGCTCCAACAAACTGGCACTGCTTCCACCCGTCTCACCAGCAGGCCTTGGCGCTGAGGTGGCAGAAGTAACCCCGCCTGCTGCACTGTGATGGGACAACACGCTGGGCTAACACGTCCTCGGTGCTCTGTCCCAAACAACCCGGTTACCATGAAAAACTGCCTCCTATAGTGCTGTCCCCAGGCCCCACTCGGAATAAATGAAGGATGAGACGCTCGGCTGAGCAAGAACACAAAGGCTTCAGTGTCTCTGGGCGGGTGAGAGGGAGGTTACACACCGCACGCACCACAGGCACGCACACTGCTGGGGGCAGGGAGTGCACGCACCACGTCCACACCACTCCCGACTTGGTGAGGGCCAGCGAGAACTGGGCGCCACACTCGATCTGGCAGACGCCCTGCCCATTCAGCCTCTCAATGTTCTGGGGCACGTTGCAGCCTTCACTTCCTCCCCGGCCCAGTTTTCCGAAGTCGCCGTCACCCCAGGAAAACACCAAACCTGGTAAGGAGAAGACATCTCAACCTGGTGTTACAGAGTCCCGCCCAGCGGGCCAGGGTCGGGACTGGGGCTCATCTTCACTGGTCGGGCCAGGGTCTGCCAACGTTCCCATGCAGGGACAGAGTCGGAATGGGCTCACCTTCATCCGTCAGAGCCAGGGTCTGGGCATCTCTGCTCCCACAGGCGACCTGGACCACTCTGTGCCCCAGAAGGACTTTCACCTACCCAACCACAAATCAGGACAGAGTCAGGCGCGGGCGGTGAGAGAGCAGGGGCCACTTACCCAGACTAAAATCCAACCACGCGCGCATCTTTATGACTGACTAGACGCGAAGCCCAGCTCCCCGGAATCGCAGACGGCCAGCTCCCCGTGAGCAGCGAGACGCAGCATAATCACCATTTTGGGCTTCAGCTGTGTCGTGTTGTCCCCGTGGCCCAGCCGGCCGTACTCGCCGAGGCCCCAGGTGTAGAGCTCGCCGCTGGACGTGAGGGCCGCGCTGTGCGAGCTCCCGCAGGCTATGTCCCGGATGCGCTTGGTCTTCAGGGCCTCAATCAGCCGGGGCTTGTCACAGTTCCTGGAACGAGATTAAACAGCGTGTTTTTAACAAAGGAAAAAAGAACATGGACACAGATCTGCATTCACAGGTCAACCTACGTCCAGGACAAGGCAGGCGAAGTCGCACTCATAGCCATTCTCTAAAAACACGTTTTAAAGTTCCGTGTTCATCAAGAGCCTGCCCTGCTCACTTTTCTGCAAAAGGGTGACCCAAAGGCAGCATTACCAGTAACGGGCTCTGAGCAGACCCTGGGACACACTCACATCCTGCTGAAGTGTCCGAGCTTGCCGTCGTCCCCTTCGCCCCAGGAGAACACCTTCCCGTCCACAGTCAGGGCCGTGGCGTGCCGGCCGCCTACAGGGAGTCACAGGCGAGGCTGTCAACGGGGGCACCCAGGGCGCCCCCCTGCCCTGCCTGGTGCGGCCCCTGCTCAGTGAACAGGTGCTGAGCAAATGGGTAAACGGGACCAACACTGCAGGGGGCAAATACACAGAACACGAGCTACAATTAAACTACAAAGTTCAAATCCCAGAAAGGATTGTACTCGCAAAGTAACAGGAAAATAACGTGCTCACTAATGGGGCTCCTGATGCTAAATCTGTGAAGGTTCAGGGTGAGAACTGCCCCCACTGGGGTCACTTAGCAAAACCCCGTTACGTGCAACTAGGGCACCTGGCTCTCCCAACACACCCGCTCAGGCTCTCCGCTCAGGACTGTCCCCCGGTCTCCACCAGCTCGGGAGTCCCGTCCCCAACACTCGTCGAGCCCCAGTGCTTACAGCAGGCCCGTGGAGACAGCAGCAACGTGCTCGGCTAGAACTACACTTCCCAGGCTCCCCTGCAGAGGGCACGGGGACGGAGGTGACAGGGTGAGGCTCTGGCGGCAAAGAGCTTCAGGTGGCCAGCGGCCCATGAGGGTGGACAGAGGGGCCCACCCCACCCTGCCCCAGGCTTCACAGGGAGAAGTGAACGTGTGCGTAGCTCCAGCTCCGCTGGTTGGAGCCTGTCACGCAGAGAGACTCGCCCTTTCTCAGAGGCACAGACTGAGGCTCGTGCCCCATTCAGTCCCTGCTCAGAGGCCCAGCGCACTGCTTTGGAAGGTTCGCTAAACTGAAGGAGTGTGGTTTTTTTAAAGGATCCTTCTTATCGCTGGGGCTCAGACACTCTGGGATCTAAATGAAGTGACAGGCCCTTTCCCAGGAAAAGAACACGTCTTCGGGCTCGGCCTGGGATTTCAAAGACGCTGTGAAGTGGAGCCCAGGGCTGCCAGTCTGGAGGCCCCTCCTTGGAGGGGAACAGACACCTCAGAAAAATTCACTACAGGGCACAGGGCTCCTCCACACACAAGGGCCACCCCGCCAGATACCTGAGTGCACGGCCACCTTCTTGACCACGTAGCTGCTGAGCGCTGTGATCTGCCGTGGGACAGGCACTGTCCCGCTGGCCATGCCCAGCCCCAGCCGGCCGTTGGTCGCCTCTCCGCAGGCGTACACCTTCCCCTCCACTGTCACTGCGGGAACAGAGCAAGGGTGGGGCTCACATCTCAGACACGACAACTGGTGTTCAGTGCTGAGCACAACCTACAGGTTTCTAACGTCAGGGTGATCGTACCTGCAAACAAACTCTTAGAGCCACCGGCCACCTGCACGACATTCAGAGCAGACAGGGTCTCAGAGAACGAAGGGACCTTTATCTGGAATCAGAAGTTTCATCAGAGCAAAAGGAGAGAAAAGACCGTGTTACTGACCCTGTTACAACTGCAAGTAACCTGTCAGGTGACTCGAGGAACCTGTGAGCCTGCAGGACGGCACTGGCCAGAGGCCTTCCTCGTAGGATGCACACTGACATGCTTTAAGGGCGAGGGGATGCGCGGGCATTCACTGTGAAATAAACAGCGTGGGGCGGGGGGGTAAAAACATGACCATCTGCTGGTCCAGGGACACAGGGCTCGGTGTCCATTCCTTCTATCGGACGAGTCTAAACATCTGCACAACTGAAGGTGAAGCAGGAAACACACATGATGGACAGATATAGACAAACCCGAGCTACAGCCTATTCCAGGTCCCGTCCTGCACGTTCTCACTGACTCCCACATCTCTGAGAAACCACATGCTCACACCTCCCACTCACATGCGAGCAAGTTCATCTAAAATTCTTAAAGCCCCGAAGAAGCCCTTTCCAACCCCGAGTCAGAATCTGTCCAGCGGTCTCTCCTAGGGTGGGAGAGAGGGTTTACATCACACCCACGGGCCCCACATCTGTCCCTCACGTGCAAACTCCAACAAGGCTGCCCCCACAACTGACCGGCTCTCAGGGCTCAACGCCCCTGCAGTGGAAACCAGGGCCGCTCACATGAAAATTGCGTGTGCTGGGGGGAGGGACCACGGTAAACATGGTCCAACCTTCCCACTCAGCTCCCCACAAAGCAGGCAGTGAGGGGCCTACGGAGACAGTTTCCAGGCACTGACACTGGAGGAGTCGGTGTTGAAGCCCCTCAGCTGAGACACTGAGTAGCCCTGGCCGGTGGGCTCAGTGGTTGGAGCATTGGCCTGAGCACCAAAGGGTCTCAGGTTCGGTTCCAGTCAAGGGCATGTACCTGGGTTACAGGCTCCATCCCTGGCCCCAGTTGGGGTGCATGTGGGAGGCACACCATCGACGTGTCTCTCACCTCCATGTTTCTCTCTCCCTCCTCCCTCCCTCTCTCTCTAAAAATCAAAGGAAGAAATTTCCTCGGGTGAGCACCAACCAAACCAAACAAAGGAAAGAAAAATAAAGAAAAAAAGCAACGACGAGAGAGGCACGAAGCACCACAGGGGCCCTGGCTGGCTCCAGTCCAAGTGCACCCTTTCTGTGCCTGCCCTTTAAGCCGCGCCCTGTGCACCTGCGCGCCTCTGCGGCACTTTAACACGTTACGCTGATCGTGGTAGGCAAGGTAAACGTAACTATACCACGTAACTGTCACCTATGCGTGTATCAAATCTTTCCAAACATGTATTTTCTAGTTTATAAAATAGCAATAATGCAACTATATCTAAAGACTACTATTTTCCAAAAACAGAGGCTTTTCAGAAACTAAATCTGATGATGCCTATGAGTCGTGTCAGAATTACTTTAGAAAAGTCCCTTAGAAGCCACCATGAAAAGAGCTTGGAAAGAGGCCTGGCTGTTGCTGGGCCCCCGGGACCAAGGCGCCAGCAGAGCTCCGCTCGGTCACATGGCAACAGCGACAGGAACTGCGGGCAGGGGGTGGGTACCTTGGAGCCCTTCAGGCCGCCCAGCTGGTCCTTGTCGTTCAGGCCCCACACAAACACTTTGGTTCTGATCGTGGCCGCCGACTCCAGCCCCGCAGCCTTCTTTCTAATGAGGCTAACAAAGGGGAAAGAGAAACGGAGGCGATCTGGCATTAGAAAAATGCCCAACACTACGAGAAAAGCAACCCCGAGCACGCAGTTTCCTGATTACTATAGAAACACTCACAGTTTCAACACAGTAAAACATCAAGTACATCCTGGCATGAATGTCCACAGGTTCAGAATTTTTGAGTCCCAGCTGCTGCCTTTCAATCCTAGAGTTTAACTTCACCTCCTATTTTTGGTAGAGACCTTTCTGTGATGCACGGAGTTGAACCTAACAGCTGTTTACAGACAGAGCCGCCCGGCCATCACCCCGACACTCGGCTCCTACAGAGGTAACTAGTCCGGGCAGGTAACAGAGGCAACCGATCCAGGTTTCTCTCTCACATTAATGTCTCTCTCTCTCTCTGCCTCCCTCTCCCCCTTGTTCCCTCTCTAAAATCAATTTTTAAAAAAATAGTCAACATGGTAAATTTTATGTATATTTTATCACAATGAAAGTTTTTCACTTACTATAAAATACACACTGTACCACACCATTTCCATATGAAAACAAAACCAGGGACGGATAAAAGAAACTCTAAGGACATACACCAAATGTGTATTAAATGTGATGTTTCAGGGAGAAAAACCAAACATTCTAGTTCCTTTTAAATGATATTTTTCTAAACACAATGTGTTTCTACATTAGACTTTTCCCTAAAATCAAATCAAATGATAATCTTTGAAAACTGAAAGTGAGGACATTCCTGGGGTGCATCATGAGACACGCGGGGAACATTTCCTGCAGAGAAAATTCTGGGCTGAGCGCCAGTGCCACCCAGCCGGGCTCTCACCTCCCGCCGCCACCTCTCTCCTCGTCTTCCTCCTCGGTCTCAGACGCTAGGAAGGGGACCGCGGCCAGGTCCTCCTCCTCCGCGCGGATCCGGCCCAGCAGGACGAGGCCGTGGATCTTGCAATCGATGCCCGAGCTCCTGCACTGTTTTATGGCAATTTCGATGTACCTGTGATACTGGACACAAGCACGGGGAGCTGCAGGCGCCCGAGACCAGACACACAGACACCCAAGCGGAGGGCAGGACATTTCCAAGGGGACTGTGCGGAAGGTGAGCTCCCTCCCCACATTCTGGAGGCATCGAGCCAGGGAGCACGTCTGAGCAGGGCCTGCCTTCTGAAGAAGTCAGTTCACCAGGGCTCGGGACTCGGTGACTTTCTCACAGAAATCGGCCTGGCTGGTGTGGGTCGGTGGTCAGAGCTCTGGCGCACGCACCACAGGCTCTTGGGTTCGAGTCCCAGGCAGGGGGACAGGCCTGGGTTGCAGGTCTGATCCCCGGCCCTGGTCATCAGGGGCTCACGGGGGAGGCAACCAGTCAATGTGTCTGTCACGGCGATGAGACTCCCTCTCCCTCCCCCCCTCTCCTTCCGCTCTCTCTGGAAAGCAATGAAAAAAACACCCTCAAGTGGGAATTAAAAAATAAATACGATGAGAGCCCCACTGAGTGGCGGCAGACCTCTTGGTCTCTGAGCTGTCTTGAACCAAGATGCAGTAAGAAGACGTTAAATGCCCAGAGCCTCCATAATTTTCAAACACAATGAAAACATGTGAGTGCCCACTAACGGGACAGAACAGCACAAAGAGCCCCACGACGCCCTCACCTAACTGAACGAGCACCAACGTCTGACCAGCTCTGTCAGCCCTGAGGCCCATCGGGGTGAAAACAAAGGCCACTGCGGCATGACAGGAGTGGGCACAGAGGCCATCGCGTGCACAGATCCGGAATGACACACTGTGCCGACACACAGAGCCACCTGCCCGTGGCCACAATCGCCAGGAGCATTTAGGCTGCTTCCCACCAAAGTGAGGGTGCTGGTTACCTGTTTCCCTTTCAAGCTAGTGTGATAAGCAGTGGTGTACATGCCACTTTTTAAAATAAGCAAAATTAATTAAAGTAAGAAATGGGCCCAATATCTGCACAGAAATGGTCTGAAAGGTCACCTTCCTGTCACCTGCAAGCCCTCGAGACGGAGCTGTCACAGCCACTCACCTCTGTGCAGTCGCTTAGGAGGGACACTGTGGTGTCGGTGGGGTTGATATTGATGGTCTTTAGTTCAATGAGGTTATTTAGGGAATTTCCACCTAGGAAAAAAAAGATGAAGGATCAGACAAGGAGATTTATCTCCTGATAGAAGGTACTTTCTGAGCAGATGACCTCGGCTACCTGACACCACGACCAGGGAAGGCATGTAGCTGCTGTCCGCGGGGTCGACCGTCATCTTCAGCCTATGCACAAGGACATCGGGGAAAATCTCCAGACGGATCCAATGCTTAAAATAAAAGCATTCCCAGTTAGTAAGCCTGTTACGTTTTAGCTACTAAAACCGTACTGCTGAAGCCTGACCCTACGTGAGATTCGTAAACGACACCATGCGGCATGAGAGGCAGACTCCGCCGCTGAGCTGCAGACGCAAGAGTACCCTCCTCCGCTCTTGCTTATTAGGGGAAACACAGAGATCAGGCTCCGATCCGGGTGGTCCCTTTGCACCCATCACAGGAACACGGGAGTCCAGGTGGAGAGAAAGGCCCTGCTCAAAGTCTGACCTGCGAGTTGACATGGTGTCGTCCACTCTAAGTGCAAACCCGACAACATGGCAAAGGCCAGCACATGCGTTAGGATGTAGGAGAGAAACTTCTAACAAGAGCAGCACCTGAACTGGGTATTTCACAAGGGGGTGTAAAAAACAACACCCTATTGCACCCTCTCTCAATGGGTCGGATGAAATCCGTTGCCTGTATTGTTTAAAATCTCTGACAATAAAAATTGGACAGTATATTTAAAACAATTATAGCCCTGGCCGGTGTTGCCCCAGTGGTTAGAGCGTTGGCCCATGAACTAATGGGTCGCAGGGTCGATTCCTGGTCTAACGCATGTACGTGGGTTGCAGGTTCGATCCCCAGCCCGGGTCGGGGAGCGTGGGAGGCAACCAATGGATGTCTCTCTCTCCCCCCTTCCACTCTCCATGAAAAGCAGTGGAAAACATCCTCGGGTCAGGATTAACAAACAAACAAACAAAAAACCTCTGAAAATAAAAACTGGATGACATACTTAACATAATAAGCTAAAACATAAAAGGAGTCCTGACAGGGGCCCTTTTCAAGGTCACCCTGATGCTCTGGAAGGCAAAGCGGCCCAGGGCAGCACCCGTGCAGGGCCCGCGTCACACTACCTTCCCCTGCGACCCGGACGACTGCCAGCAGGGCTCGCTGCCGTCGATGAGCCGAGAGGCCTGGTTCACGGAGGATGACACGTGCAGGCTCTTCACCATACGGGACCAGCTGTCCAGCAGCGTCCCCGGCTGGCTGCTGTGGCACCGTTTCAGCTGCTTTCCTGAGCGGCCACAAAATATGGCGGACTGTCCTACGGATGGTGATGGAACAGCGTTAGTGCTTGCGGGGCAGAACTGCACACCGAGAACGCGCTTTACGAAAACAGTTGTTTTCAAATTAAAAGGAGCTAACAAATCCTAAAATGGCTTCCAAAACACGCGGGGAGGTATCTTACAGCAGCGTATGGACGAAGCTCATGCGACGCTGCACCTGACTCGGGTGACACCTAGAGATACACCCCCAGGTGATACACCCCCAGGTGGCAGCCACGTTGAGCTGAGTGCAGTTCAGTGACATGCTTACAGAAAACACTCCATTAAAAATGCTTTTATGAAAGCAAAGCGAACACACTGGTAAAGAGTTTCTCCTCCCATTCACAGCAAATCTGACAATTCCTCCCACTGAGGACAGTAAGAGGCCGACAAAGCCGTGAAAGGTGAATAAATCTGGGATGTATGGGTTAATAGGACAGGACTAGGCCCTGAGGGTGTGAGGAAGGTGGAGATAAAGGAGGCACCCAGGTGAGCGACCCTGTGGATCCGAGGTGTTTTTCCCTAATGGTACCTGCCAGGTCCTAAGGAGAGCCCTGCCCACACGAGGATGCACTTCTGACAGATGGGTCCAGAGCCCACCGCCATAGAAAGGGGTAACCACAGGAAAACACCCTCTGGGGTTGGGATCCAACAGGGAGAGCCGAAGAGGAAGGGTGAACCATGTAGGACTGACTGACTGTTTTATAAATGACTGCTCAGCGTGGATGCATCTCCCTGAGTGAGCTGCACTGAGCTGAGCCCACACAGGTCTCTATCCAATTACAAGAAAGATCAACCCTCTTCCCAAAATCTGGAGACATACCTTAGGCCTCAAACTGACTCAAGAAATAATTTTTAAATATAATGTCAAGCCCGGCCGGGCATGGCTCAGTGGTTGAGCATCAAACCTGGGATCTAGACGACCAGGGTTCAATTCCCAGTCAGGGCACAGGCCCAGGTTGCAGGCTCGATCCCCAGTCGGGGGTGTGCAGGGGGCAGCCGATCAATGACTCTCTCATCATTGATGTTTCTGTCTCTCTATCCCTCTCCTTTCCTCTCTCTGAAATCAATGAAGATATGTTTAAAAAAAAAAAGATAACTATAATGTCCAGTAGATAACGACATGTAAGGAGACCAAAGAACATTACTGAAAACTACCAGAAATAGAAGATAAAATCAGACCTATAGAGGCTCTAAGTATTAAGAATTACAGACACAGATTTTACAGTAACTCTACTTTCTATGCTCAAAGACACTGAAGATTCCAGCAGAGCCCGGCCGGGCGTGACTCAGCAGTTGAGCGTCGGCCTAGGATCCAGGCGATCGGGGTTTGATTCCCGGTCAGGGCACATGCCCGGGTTGTGGGCTTGATCCCCAGTCGGGGGGGTGCAGGGGGCAGCTGATCAATGACTCTCTCATCATTGATGTTTCTGTCTCTCTATCCCTCTCCTTTCCTCTCTCTGAAATCAATAAAGATATATTAAAAAAAAAAAAAAAAAAGATTCCAGCAGAGAGTCAGAAACTATCAAAAAAAAAACCCCAAAAAACAAGAAGACTAGAAGTATCCCAGTCACTAAATTTAGAAACTCAATGAACAGGTTTACCAGCAGGCTAGACAAAAAGAGAATTAGTCAAAAAAATTATCTAGGATGAAGAACCAAGAAGCAGAAGTTTGGAAAATGTACATGAGAAGGCGAAGGACCTGAGGGATAGAGGTGACATCTACTACAGGTGTTTTAGGTGAGATCAGTGTCCACCAACAGATCTACTCCGGGAATCGGTCTGCAATGCACACGCACCAAACCGCCACACTGGACCGACCTTCCACAATGCTGCATGGCAACTGCACGTCAGCGAAGTTGGAAAGAAAATGATAAATAAATGAAAAGCCCCACTGACCCTGAGTAAGATAAAATATAAAGCAGCACATCTCACACACGTGGGAAGTTCCTATAAGATAAAACCAAAAGATCATCTCAAAGCAGAGTAGGAGGAACACAAAGACTGATCAGCATTAGTGGAGCGATGACCATACTCCCAGATACTCCAGCAGAGATGCCACAACCTGGATTATAGTGGAACAGCAGGTGCAAGTGCTCACAGACAATCTCCTGCAAAAATATTTTCAAACATGAGAGAGAAATAAAAAAATGTTCAGAAAACACAAACACAGAATCCATAACCACAGAGAAAAAAGCACGGAGGGCTACTCCCCGGTGGGAGGACAATGACGATGGGTGGATAGAGGAACGTCAGAAAGGAGCAGAGGAAAATCACAATGTTATGGACGTGAAAGAACCTGAACAAATACTGACCAAATACAAGCCACACTGACATGTCCCACAGGGTTAAATGTGTACGTGTGAGACTGCAGCACACGGTCATTACATCAGAATGAGGGCAAATAAGTTAAAGGGACCTAAGGCCCTCACATTGCTCAGGCGGCGGGTGAAAAGGTAGCATCAGACTTCAGTAAGCCAAGGCAGGCGCCCGAGTCTCTCGAGGAACCGCTGACACCGACAGCGAGCACACCGCCTGCTCACGCAGGGCACCAGCGTACACTACAAGTGCCTGTACCTTACAAGCCAGGGGGGCGTTCATCATGGAAACGTCTCGGTCCAAAGGAAAATGGAGAGTAGGGAACAGGAGCACCAATAAAAACACCGAAGAGCTGATCAGTTTAATTAAAAATATCAGGAAATGCCTTAAATGTAAATGCCTAAATGATCCAAATAACAGACAAAAATCATCATGTAGAAATTTTAAAAAGCTATTTACAATTTATAAGAAATACCTAAACTACGAAAATCCAGAAAGACTGAGGGTGAAGGGCTGGAAGATTCCCTGAGCAAATGCGAACTCCAGCACAGAACCACAGGGAGCCTTTGAGGCCACGAGCAACATTCATAAAATCCCATCATCATATGCAGAGTCACAGGATCATACGAGAGCTTCAGGAAATGCCAAAGATCACTCGAGGTGCATCCTCTGAACACAGTGCAGAAACCAGTAAAAAGATGTACAAAGAATGATCCTATGTTTGAAAACTTAAAAGCCAATGAATACAAGGGAGTAATTCCAATGGAATTTTTAAATACTGTGAAATAAGTGATAAAATATTACCACATACCAGTATTTCAGGATATAGCCTACGCCCTGCTTAAAAATAAACGTGAATTTTTAAGTTCATCTATTAGAAAAGATGAAAGTGAAGAATTAAAGAGCTAAGCAATTCCCCTCAAGACAGGAAAAATAAAATCAACCTAAACCCAAATTCCATGGGAAATGAACGTTGCGGACGTGGGGAGACAGAAGCTCCGGCTCTGCTGCTGGGAGCGTGAGACGTGCTGGCGCCGTGGAAACATCCCGGCAGCTCCTTGGTGAGTTAGGAACTATGACCGGGACTTTCACTGCTCGTGTTGAAAAGGGACTCGGACAGGTCTGCACACCAATGTTCACACATTATTCCAACAGGAAAAAGGTAGAAACCACCCAAATGTCCATTAAAAGGTAAATGACAAAACATGGTATGCACACAACGGGGTGTTAAACGAGCGCGGAAACGGGGTTCTGACACGTGCTACAGCGAGACGAACCCTGTAGACAGCGCGCGACGTGAAATAAGCCGGAGCACAGCTGTGGGTCCCCTTAGGAGACACCCGAGTCCGAGTCAGAGAGGCGGGGACAGCAGAGGCTGCCAGGGGCTAGGGGAGGGGGAAGGCCCATTTCGGCTGAGTACAGACTTGGGAACGATGGAGTTTTGGAAATAGTGGTGATGGCTGTGCGACAGCCCGAGCTGTACACTTAAAAGCAACTCACACAGGTAGAGTCTATGTTGTGTATGTTCTGCCACCAAAAAAAAAATACAGTGAAAGACATACAGATAAGACTCGCTCTCCATGCGCCCGATTCCATGCCCACGGTGGAAACACGCTCTCAGGGACTTGGGATCTTTTTAATGTTCTTTATGGAAACACAGCAAATAAACGGTTACTCTACCTCCCCGGGCCCCTCACTGCTTGAAAGAAAAGCAAGTCACCAAGTGGGTAGGACGGGCTTCCCCGCTTCCCCCTGTGCCCGCCGTGTGCTTCCCTGTGTGCTCGCTGCACACACGAACTTTAAAGAGCTGAGTGACACAGTGACTGTCCCATTAGGCGCACAGCTGCTCTGCCTACCAGGCTCGTTGATTCTGCCAAACGTGTGCCGGGTATGGTGCTTTCTGGTCTTGAAGCACGTTTCACAGAAATCGAAGTCGTCGCAGTTTCTGCACTTGAACCTGGGCCCGTTGATGGGAAACATCTGGCAGCCATCGCACCTGTTTCAAACGGATGGGGTCACTCAACACACTTCCTCCCAAAGAAAACCACTCCTCCCAACAGGCCCAGCGACACAGGAGGACACTCACGTGACCCCGGGGTGCACACTGGGCACCAGCTCCATCTCGGACAGGAGCCCGGTCCAGTGAGACTGCTGAGGGAAGTCGACGATGACGTCCTTCCCGTTGGCACTGAAGGCTAGGATAGAGCAGAGACGCCTGAAACGCCTGTCACCACGAAACACGAAAGGCAAAACTGAAACTACACCTCGCCGCGAGATACCCTCTTGCAGCGGCTTGTGTTTCACTACAAGGACTTCGCTCTTGGAAGTCCTAAGGTACCAGGGATGAACCAGCCATGACGTCAGGGATTAGCTTCAAAGTGAGGAGGAGGGATGCCCTGGCCGGGGGCTCAGTGGTTAGAGCGCTGGCCTGCGCACCAAAGGGTGTCGGGCTCCATTCCCCCTCAGAAGCAGGTACCTAGGTTGCAGGTTCGACCCCTGACCCCAGTCAGGTGCATGCGGGAGGCAACCAGTCACTGTCACTGTCTCTCTCTCTCCACCCCCCCTCCACTCTCTTTAAAAATCAATGGAAAAAAATACCCTCGGGTGAAGATTAACAAAATAACAAGGAGGGAGGGGACCGTGGGCGGGACAAGTCCGGCCAGAGTGAGGCCCTGAAGCTGGTCTTCATACACGGAGGCTGACATTTTCCACAGGGAGGTTTGTTCTCATCACACCGTGTCGCACTCTCCACGCAGCGCCTCCAGGAATAAAACCACGAGAGCGTCACGGCATCTCCGGCCCCTGGAGAGAGCACTCAGGACTCACAGCTCCCGCCTCTAAACCCAGGTCTTGTTTTCAAAATGGTTTGATTTGTAAAGCTCTTTACCAAGAAAAATGTTAGGCCAAAGTGAAATGTTCACTAAGCCACTGGTTTCTTTAACCTGGGAAGCACCCCACGGTGGCCACGTCTGAACTCAGCTGTTGCACGTGGGAGGGGACAGGGCTCAGATTAAATGGCACAGAGCAGGGGCTCCCGGGCACTGAGTTTACGGTTAAGGTTAAAGGGCACGCGTACTTTGTGACTTCACAGGCACTTGCTAAGGATGCACAGTACCTTATAAAGCCTGCCACTCGTTTGACCTAAAACCTCAGTATCGCATTAAATATAAACGGAAAAGGACCTTGTTTCCAGCTCCTAACTCCCAGCATTTGCCTACTTCCATTCTTAAATTTATCCCACATTTTTATAAAACGTTACAAAAAAGAGAATGGTCCCAACCCAAGGGAGCTGGCCAGATGCTCACATACAGGCCACGGGGCAGAAAGCTGGACAGAGCAAGTCTACAGAACAGCCCGCCAAGGCCACCCCACGACGGACGGATCGAAGCAAAGACCAGCCACCCAGGCCTGTCCCATCGAGTTCAAGTGGATCCAGACCACAAGCAGATGCCACGCCCGGCTGACCAACAACGGCCGCCTCACCGGCACACCTTCTTCCCAGTTCCCTCCTTTCCGCCTTTTAGAAAATACTAAGACTCCCACTCTTGGCATTACCTCGCTTCCTTAAGCCTTCCCCGAAATATCCAACACAAGCCTTATCAGCCCTTTGGGACGCCACTTACGGAGACACTGATTTCCAGGGTGCGCGTCCCCCCGAGAGCACTGGGTCGCTACACCTGACCTTCGACTACAGCTGTGCTCCCATCTAGAGGGCCCTGACAAGCTAAGGACGCAGCTTACTCGTCACAAGGCTTTCTTTGCATCTGTGCTCCTTGACCTTGAGTGGGAACACAGNTACTCGTCACAAGGCTTTCTTTGCATCTGTGCTCCTTGACCTTGAGTTTATACTAACTGAGAAAGGTGAGCACTTGGGATTCTGTTGCCCGGAGAGCATTACCTTTCACAACACCCACGCTCTGGTGCGTCACGGAGCCCCACTTGTACTTCGGGGTGGTCACCGAGGCTTTGACGCGCACCTTGTCTCCGATCTTGATGTGAGAAGGGAAGCTCGGGGGCGGGTAGCCTGCAGGCGCCAACGTGAAGGGCGCGTGATCAGCACGCGCTCCAGGGACTGAGATGCAGGGGAGCCGAAGGGCGGGAGGGGGCCGCTCACCTACGAGCTCCACGTGGATGTACCGCACCCAGTAGGTGCCCCCCTTGTGCTGCCAGTCGCACTGCACGTTGAGGTCATGTAGCCCATCGCGGTCCAGCTTGATCACCTTGCCCATGTCCCCTTCACACACCTCCTCATACGTCCGACAGCATCTCACCATCATCCCCACCTAAATGAAAATCAAACTCAAAGTCCAGCCCAGTGTGAGACCAGACAGAGTGAACACTTATAAGCAGCATGACTGCCCCTAAGGAAGGGCTCCTCCGGCGCCCGGAGTGCGCGCTCCAAGCCCTCTGACGCAAGTGGGGCCTGGGCTCCTCGCTGGCGGGGGCGGGAGGTGCGCCTGATGCCCCTGATCAGGTCACGCGACAAAGCAGGGAGCCACCAGTGACGAACGTGCTCACTCAGAAGCCCAGGCCGACCAAGGGGAATGGCAGATGAGACGCATGAAACCCAACCCTGGCCGGGGCGGCTAAGCCGGTCGGGCGTCGTCCTACCAACCGAGAGATGGCCGGTTCGGTTCCTGGTCAGGGCACATGCCGGGCTGCAGGCTGGATTCCCAGCAGGGGGCGTGCAGGAGGCACCCAAATGATGTCTCTCTCTCCCTCTCCCTCTCCCTCTAAAAATTAAAAAAAAGTATACATATTGGGGAGAAAATGAAATACATCAAACCCAGAAGGGCGAGTAAGTGGGTCACATCGACAACACGCAGAACACAGGTCGCTGGTCACCTCTGGAAGGACCGGAAATGGATTCTCCATTCAGGAAGCTGATTAAGCAAAAAACAAAACCACCACCACCACGGGCACGAACTCCGCCTTCCCTACCGACACTGCGTGAAGGAGCCAGAGCCGGTACGAAGGTCTCACATCAAAGCACAGAGACCTCCAGCTAGTAAGCTTGGAAGTGATGACAAAGCTAGAACGTCACTGTGTGTACCCGTCTCGACGGCCCAGGCGATGGCGCTCAGGGCAACAAGGCACCAACGTGAACCAGCAGAACTTCTGACAGACGAGCCGGCTACAGAGCTAACCTGCAGCCGGTCCGCGTGCTGCCTTCCAGCCGGAGACGCAGCCTGAGTCCAGACCCTGCGGCGTCACGCAGACGGCAGGACGTGCAGGGGAGGGAGAGGAGGGACAGCCACCGGTAAACGCCACGGAAAGGAAAGAGCCAGGGAGGCCGCTCTGGGCTATGACACGTTACCACCCAAATGTAAGCTGTGTGAGCTTGACGGCACCCGAGTTTTAAAAGTTACTGTAAAAAAGGTATTTCTGAGAACATCAGGAGTATCTGAGCGAGCACCGGCTGTGAGATGTACTGGGCACTTTGCTGGGTGAGGTTAGGTGGCAGCAACGTTGTGTTAAAGACAAAGTCCTGTGTCTGTTAGGGACACATCCTGACAGGTTCCCGGGTGAAGTGAGGTGACCAGGGACTTTCTCTGGAGGACACCAGAACAAAGCAGCAGGATCCAAGGTGCGGAGAGGCCTAGCGAAGAGCTCAACCTGACTTCACACGGTGGACACGCGGAGAACGCAAGACACGCGAGCAGAGAGATTTTCAAAAGGGTCCAAATGGCGACAATGGGACCAGTCACCTCTTCCTGGCCGTCCCTGCCCGGCCACAGGACCCCTTGCAGTGCCGTCCACCCTCCCCAGCCATGGACTTTTCGAGATGCCGAAGCAGGAGCACGAGAGCCTAGGCAAGGCTCAGCCCAGACCCTCACTCACCTGGATGTTCTCGCGCACGTACACGGCATAATCGTCGTTACTCAGGAAGTCGGCGCGTTTCTTGTAGGTCTGGCTCTCGGTTACGACAGCCCCGGTAGACTAGGAGAGATCAGATACACTTCTTGAAAACAGCGAACCAGGTAAAGCTACTTAAAAAGTACAGACGTGTCTGAAACCTACAACGTGAAGGAATAAAGTAGTAGCATTGACCATGTGTTCCCTATAAAAGTTTTCTAAGCAAGGAAAGGTTTACTGCTTGAGAAGGCGTCACTGGAACAGACGGGTGAGCTGGCTCTGAATCCGCCTGAAGAGCTGACCTCCCTCACTTAAAAGAGATTAGCAGCAGCAGCAGGTCAGCAGAATGGACCAGAGGCTGGGACTGAACATTTCTGAGGCATTTCTCCAGATAGTCCCATGAAGCACTTTACTCAGACCAGAGGCCGCAGCCTCACCTACAACACAATCTTTTCATACAGTTTCTTCTGATGCTTCCAGACACCACCAGGCGCCGGACAGGGCTGCTTTAAGCCCGAAGTAACAGCTGAGGCACAGGACACCCTGCGGCACTCAGCGTCCCTGCGGAGAGGCCCCGGAGCACAGGGCGGGAAGGCACGGGGCAGGGGGTGCGGGGGGGGCAGCACAGGACAGCACTGACCACAGCGTAGGCCATGTCGTCCAAGTCCTCCACCAGCTCCTCGTCCGAACAGTCCTCAGACCCTGTGTCTGCGTCCGAGAGATCGGTGACCTGCGTGTCGGCATGGTCCAGCAGCCACCCCACCAGGGCCTCCACGCCTACGAGAAGCACACCCAGAGTAAGCCCCACTGCACCCGCCTGCCCGCAGGCCTCCGATGTCAGCATCGAAGCGCCAACCTGCGGGCAAGTGGGAGGGCAGTGAGACACTCACAAGGAAAACAATACCTGGCAGGCCCGCAGCGTTCCCAGAGGCGCCTGTGAGCGACTTCAGCGCCAACTCTATGTTCCTTCTTGGGAAGCCCATCTCCATGAGCTGGACCACGATGGGCAGCGCGGGAACAGGCGACTGCTTGCGCTTCTTGGCCCTGGCGGGGCGAAGATGCTGCATGGGCACCGGCGTGGTGGCCTCGCTGGAGCTGCCGTCTTCAAACACAGGGCTGGACGGGTGCGTGCACTCCACAGCCAGACACTGGCACACAGCCAGGGCGGCAGCCTGCGCAGAGGAGGGCGGGGCTGGGGGCCGGAAAAGCCAGGCGCCCTAAGCCCGTCCCAGAAAGCGGAGACGACGGCCTTCACCACGAAGTGCGGCGTGTGTTTATACGAACAGGTAAAGCATGAGAGAGACGATGCCCACAGTTTAGGGCAGAGAAAAACTACGACGCTTCAGTGACTCCCACCTGGGCACACGCAGAGCCTAGTGTTCTAATCTCAGTGTCCTCTAAGGACAGCGTCACTGCAGCCCCGAGCTCTGGGGGAAGCAAGCTGAGCACGTGAAAGCAGAGCGGGGGGCCCAGGGACGAAAGAGAGGTGCCCCTGTCCCCAAGACCAAGCAGCACCCACCGCCTCCGGCTCCCTCACTCTGGGCGATGGGCAGAGACAACAAGGGGCTCTCGTGGGCCAAGAAATCAACTCTCGACTACGCAAAGGGCAAAGAGCCGCTCTGAGGGTCAAGTAGGTATAGAAAACAAGGGAACTAAACACTGGGAAACGGGGTGGTGACCGGGTGAGCACGTGCATCACGCGGCTACACTCCCCCCGCACACGCAGCCGTCCCCACCCGCGGGCACCACCCCGAGGATGGACACAAGCGCATCTCAGGGGAAACCAGAGAGAAGGCGTGGTCACTGCAGCCGAGGGGAAGGCGCTTCACACAGCACAACAAGGACGTCGGCCGAGCTCCCATCCGAACCGGTGGAGACAGAGCCCGGGAAGAGCTCCCTCCGCATTTCCCCGTTTCCTCTCCTCTTTCCTCTTGGCGCCAGGCCCTCCCACGGTGCCCCTGGCTGCCACTGCCCACACCCTCCTAAATACTCTTGTCTCTGCAGGGGACAGGACACAGAGCCAGGCCACACTGAGGCACTTCAAAGCTCTCAGGCCTAACGAGTGGTCACTGAACCCCACGCTCACATCCTGCCTCTGCCCTTGCGCCCCACCGGTCAGCCTTCACGGCGGTGGCCAGAGGCAGCTGCCTCTCCACTCTGGTCCTGCTCCCAGCAGGGTCCTGCTCTCTGAGGCTGTCGATCAGATGCCTTCTGCCTGCCAAACTCAGCATCCAAGCTTTTGTTTTGTCTTTGGTATTTTACCCAGAATTTATGTTTTACGTACCAAAGGTTTTTAAACACATCAAGTCCTCCAGGTCTCAGGCCGTGACGCTGCCATCACTCAGACCTGGTCACCGTCACCTCTTCTGCAGACATGTGCCCCCAGCCCTAGGCTGCTGGGAGCGCACCAGGCAAGGGCCCCGGCCTGGCAGGGACAGCAGGACCAAGAGAGGCTCTGGGCTGAGTGGACAAGCGAGCGAGAGCAGCATCGTAGGCTGAATGCTCTTTCCATAACGGCACTTCCCAGAAAAAGACGCCTCCACCAGCACCTGAGCACTTAACCCAGGCCGAATCTAGTGGGGTTTTCAAATAATCCACATGAATTCACAATAAGGCTAAACTCCAACCCCTCCATTCTCTAGTGTTATAAGTTCTACGGCAAACACGGTTAAAGCCTAAAGAGTTGTGAGAATCACTGCGACACGTCACTTAAAATCCAGACGGTATCAGTGAGTCCCCTCAAGCTTTGCCCCCTGAGCTCCTCTGCTCCTGTGGCCAGGACAGAAGAATCGAGGGCCCCTCGGTGGCTCCAGGGGATGGGTGGCCGTGCCAGACACCAAAAGGAACAGACACCAAAAAAACAAAAACAAAAACAAAACCCAGAAAAGAGGAATACATCAGTGAGAAAATACACATTGAGAAATAAAACTGTTCAGCGGCCAGTACCTCGAGCTCCTGCTTGTCGAAGATGGCCTTCACCGGGGACGGCTGGGTGGCCGCCGCCAGCAGCTGCTGCAGGAGGATCATTGGGGGCTGCGGCCCCTCTGGAGACATGTCCCCCAGGTCAGGGGACGCAGCTGCACCATCGTCTGGATTGAAAACAAAGTATGTGTGACATTAAAGGGAAGGTACTGAGCCCGTCAGCAGCAGGGCTTCTACCCTGCCACACCCCAGACAACCACACTCCGCCCAGCCCTCCCCAGCCTTGGCCACTGGTGTCCTGGACGTCCAGGAACTGTGCTAGCAGGGGTCAGAGGGCTGGCCGCAGACAGAGCTGCTGGGTCCACTCTGTCTTCTCGCCCTGACCGAGGGAGTGAGGGGCACAGACAGGGACGGCCTCGTTCCCACATACTCAGCACAGTGTCTCTCGACAGAGGGTCAAAAGACCTCACAGCTTGGTTTTTCCTACTCAAAGAGCTCATTCTAGAAAACAGGAGTAACAATGTAAGTTTAAGGCAAGCCAGCTGAACGTCCACCGTCAGCACCTCGCTAGCACATACTCCTACGGCACAGCTAGACTCCTAGCAACAGGCTCTCCCATTTCTCGGATCATTACCGTTTCCAGGCAACGAGCACGTGTTTCAGCACTGCAAACGGCACCACGTGTTCCCCTGCGCAAACGCAACACCTAACGACCGGCACTGACTTGTCTCCAGGTTCAGGATACACCACCACCGACAAAGCAGCCACAACATGCACCTGCACACGTGTCTGCACGCCTTTGCGTGTGACACATTCCCCAGTCGACTTTGTCAGTGGACACGCAGAGACAGAGAAGTGGACAGAGACACAGACGTGTCTGTGCATTTCCTCAAGTGCCCAGCAGTTGGTGGCACAGACGTCAGGCCCCACTGGTGAGGTCCCAGGGCCGTGCTCTGTGTGTGGAACCAGCGCAGGGTCTGGTTAAGGCGCAGGCCTCACCTCTGAGGTCAGGAAGGCCTGAGAGTCTACGTTTGTACCGTGTCCTCTGTGTTGGGGTCAGTGCTGCTGTCCTTGGGCCACATTAAGTAGCAGCGGGAAGGCCCTGCGCCCCCTTGCCCCACCAGATCCCTCCGTCTCTGTGTATGAGACGAGGGCCGTATCATCTACGCGGGTGGGGCCTGTGTCTGGCACACCGACCCTCACACACCTGTCTGCACAGCAGCCTCCTGCACGGCAGGCTGGGCCAGGATCTGCCGGAGCTGGTCCTGGTGGGACAGCAGTGCGCGGCCTGCCTTCAGGATGTACAGCTTCAGCTGCTGGCTCCGAAGCAGGTCCAGGTCCACTTGTCCTGCGGGAGGAAAGGACTCAGCGGGATGCACGCCCTGCTCGAGCTCACTCCACTGCGGCGACGGGACATAAACAAGCCATCGCTGTGGGAATCAGGTGACCAGGCCCAGGGCTGTGGACTGAAGGGCTCATCTTTCCCAGAGTTAAATCAAGACCGGGGATTCTGGGAAAGTGCCCTTGCCTCTCCGGTCTCCCCCTTTCCTGCTCCTCCATGGGCCGGGCTGAGATCAATGGCTGAACACAGAACTCTGTGATCTGTTATCAGTATCATCAAATAGCTAAAATTCCAACCAGAAAGGTGACAAGAGACTTGCGCCTTTCCTTGCCAAGCCACCACCAGGACAGTTCTGTCCAGTACTTGCCACCTACAGTCCTCTCACTCACGCTCTCAGGAGCACAACCCTCCCCATGCTCCCCTCTAGTCACAGGGACACAGCCGCGCCCCAGGCCACCAACCAGCAGGCTGAGGAAGCCGACCAGAGACGCAGGCGACACAGGAGCTGAGCACAGCTGTCCCAGCAGTGCCCCAAGCAGGACACACGGAGTCCCCGGGGGCAGTGTGGGGACGAGGGACGGCAGGAGACGAAAGCAGCACAGGTGCCCCTCAGGCATCGAGGCCGACTACCAGGCAGCCAGGGTCATCTGCTGTGACCGGCTAGGGGACAAGGCTAGTGGATTCTGGACGTGCTGTGGCTGACACGCTCGTGCCCTCCAGCTAGGGATGTGAGCTGGAGGCTCAGGTAAAGGTGTCACCATCGTAAACGCTGCAGCAGCAGTCACGGAAACGGGAGAAATGGTTGAGAAAACTTGAGAGGGCAGAACAAGTGGTGTTAGGAAGATACCACGGGATTTCAACAGGGAAAGAGCAGCGAGGGGGGGACGGCTCGAAGAACATGCAAGGGCGATGCAGGGACACCGCCAAAAGCAGGACCCAGACACACGAGGGGCCCACGTACAGGAGTCTCCACCCACTGCCAATGGGGACAAAGCAAGGCAGCCCTGCTGGGTCTGCAGGTGACGAAGCCAAGAGCAAAGTCCCCAAAGGCAACTGGGCCAGAGACCACGGCTGGAGGGTAACAGGGGGCAAGAGAGGACAGACACTGGCCCTGGGAAGAGGGGAGGCCATGCCCAGCGCTGCCCCGGGTTCCACCCCACAGCTCAGCATGGCCCCCGTCTGAGCCCAAACTGACAGCAGGCTCACCTGCAAAGCCCCGTTTGGGCGACTTCTTCATCCGGTTCTTCTCCAGCCTGCTTCCCGCGAGGTTCACCAGCTGCGCCCAGACCGAGAGCATGGGGTCTGCGAAGGGCAGGTTGGTGATGCTGAACGCCACGGCAGGGAGCTGCGGGGAGAGCAGGACGCTCACCACGCGGCCAGGGCAGCGGGAAGGAAGGTGCCTGGAAGTTACCACGACCTCGAGGCTTAATTCTCAGAGACCACACGCCCACAGTCTGCTGACAGACGATGCGAGAGGAGGGACGCGTGTATGTGCAACAGACTTAATCTACGGTACTTTTTCTTTGCCAACTTGTCAAAGGGTCGTAATTATTACCTACTTAGGCTGTTTTGTACATTTTAAGCTTACTACAGCGTATACATATTTCTGTGACAATCAGTGTTTCTCGAAACACAGTCAGACTGCAACACAGGTCACATCAGGATAACATAAACCCTCCCTCCCCTGGGCACCCCGACTTCACAGATCTAGGGTGACAGTAGCTGCTACACAAGCCGGTCACTCAGCACAATTAAAAAGCATTTCTACGGGAAGAATGGCCCTTTTTTTAAAAGGAATCATTTTTAGGGTTTTTTCAAAGCTGAGTAGTTGAAAACTCTCACGGTTCCTGCTAAGTGACTGCTGTCCTCCCCTGTCTTTTGAGGCTGAGACAAGATGTGAACTGCTAACCCCCAACCCTGTGAAGGCCCGACTCACCCCAGCACACAGAGCAAACAAGGGAGCTGGGCGGACGGCCCCTGGAAGCAGCGAGGCTACGGGACTCGCAGCGCTGGCAGAGCCCAGGTCTAATATAAACCCCTCACCTCACTGCCAGCACCGGGCACCAAGCACCTACCGGCTTCAGCTGATTCAGCGGGCACACGCGGCACGTCCGCATGTCCAAGAACTGCACGGTGATCTTGCCCTTCGGGGTGATGCGCGTCACGGTGCCCTCCCCAAACTCCTCGTGCATGACCTGGCCCCCCAGGCGCAGGCGGCCGTCGATGCCCCCGATGACGGCCAGGACAGCCATGAGGCCCCCCACCTCGGGGCTCTCCGAGGCGTCCGGGAGGCAGTCCCCCTGAAGGGCCTGGTGCAGAGAAAGGGAGCATGAGGACGGAAGCCTGAGAGCTGCCTGCGCCCTACCACCTACAGCTGGGCCAAGTTCATGGTTAATCATGCCGCACAATAATTATTTCCAGTAACAAATGTTTTCAAACATATCTCTGAACAAAGCACGCAGCACATACAAAGACGACTTAATGTATAAGTCAGGGTGACATCATGCAGAGGTCACCAGGCAGACATGACCACGAGCGCAGCACCCACCCCGTCGGCCGGCCTGGCCCCACAGCTGAGGGTGACGGACTGCAGCTGGGAGTTGATATACTTGTTGATGAGGCCGTTCCACTGGCCCAGGGAGTGCAGCGTGCGCAGCAGGGCCACCGCCTCCTCCGCCAGGGTGCTGCTGTGAGTGGCCGTAAGTGAGGCCTGCGGCCGGGCCCTCCGCCTCCGCAGAGTGGACTCTGAAAGAAACACAGGACAGGAGCTATGGACGCCCCGCTCACCAGCCGGGACCCGAGGATGGAGCGCGGCCCACCTCTAAGAAAGGGGATGTCGGAGGAGCAGGTGGTGAGCAGGCTGCCCAGGAACCCGAAGAGCTTCTCCACGAGGCCCTTCATGTCCTCTGCCCGCTCGGCCTTGTCCCAGGACGGCAGCACCGCTTGCAGCAAGTGTATGGCAAGGATCTGTGCAGGGCGATGCAGAACGCCGGAGTTAGAGAAAGCCTCTGACACACAGAAACAAGAGTCTTATTTTCTATTTCCTGCTCCTGTAAGGGAATTTACCACGTGAAATTCTAATGTTCATTATTATGCAACAGCCAACTACACCCAAGTTGACTAACGACATGGATGACCAGAGGTTAAAGAAATAAGCTGTGTCACAGACGCAGGCACTCATTTAACTAAACAATCATCCCTTCGTTTAATTCTCCTCGAGCCAATCACACTACAACTCCTGTGAAGATGAGACGTGACCCTCACAGAAGTCAGTCAAGAACCTCAGCCCGCTTCTAGGAACTGACTTTGGGGCGAGCCCACTAGTTTCTGGATGGGACGCCGCCCACTCCTGAATCGCTTAATAAACCCAGTGGGATCAGGAGGAGCCGGGCACACGTTACCTGGCGCTGCAGCGAGGCAGCCGTGAAAGGCGCATGTCCCTCGACGACCCGCATGAGCAGGGCGATCCAGGGTGGGGAGCTGAGCGCGGCGCACATGTGAGGCGTGAGCGCGATGCTGCGCACGAAGCCCAGTGAGCACCAGCGGCGGTGCTGCTCCCGGCTCACCAGCCTGGTTGGGGAGGCTGCGGGCGACACAACCCGCTCGTACTGGCCCCAAGAATCACTCAGCGCAACCTCGGCTTCCAATTCACCTGCTACACTATGTTCATGAATCCAAAGTGAGGGAGGAAAGCCTCCGGAGGAAGATTTTGGGGTTATTTCAAGGAACACCTGACATTTTAAAAACCTTTAACAGACATGTAGTAACTCACACTGGTTAAGGAACTGGAGCTACTGCTTCTAGGTCGTAGGAAGATGGTCCACAGTCCACAGGACATGGGGGAGAGCACCTGTTACGTCTTTTTAAATGTCGTGTGTTTGAAATATGCCCCATAATGTTGTTTCTACTTTACCTGCACCAGGAATGGCCAATCCGAGTATAAGAAGTCGTGTTAATAGGAGGCGAGCAAGGTTCTCAGGAGCTTTATCCAACTGAACTCTGCTGAGACTACAACCTGCCTGCTCCGCCCTTCCTTGGGTCATCCTCTGCCCATTGGGGCTATACCACGACCTGCTTAGGCCCACCCGTCAACTCACCATCCCCGCCCCCAGGGCCCAGGGCCCCTGCTCCCACGCCACAGGGAAACACGCCCTCTCCTGCACTATCACACCCACCTGCTCTAACCTGCACACTCACATGCACAACAACCTGCACCCCTCCACACTCACACCCCGCCCCACCCCACACACACTCAAGCACCTCAGCGGGCTGAAGTGTATCCCCCAAGTTCCTGGTCATCCAGAACCTTAGGGTGAGACCTTATTTGGAAGTAAATGCCTTGCAGATGTAACTAAGACAATGGATGGGGGTGGACCCTAAATCCCTAATGAAGTCCTTATCAGAGACAGAAAAAGACGCACAGAGATGCAGGGGAGGCATCTGTGCGCCTCACAGTGACCTTGCTGGGAAGTAGTCACAGGAAATGTAAATGATTAAGGTGGGGGCACACTGGAGCAGGGTGGCCCCAATACAATGTACCTGGTGTCCTCATAAAAGGGGCAATTTGGAGACAGACAGACAGGACAACACCCCATGAAGATGAGGGCAGAGAGCGACACCACAGGGACATCAGAGTCAGCCAGCAAACCTCCAGCAGTGAGGAGAGGCCTGGAGCAGAGGCCCGTGCAGCCCGAAGGACCAGCCCCGACCCAGCCCTGCGGGCACCTTGATGCTGGATTCCTGCCTCCAGGAATGAGGCCCTCATCCCTCATCTCTGCTGTTTAAGTCCCTGTTTGTGGTACTTAAACGTGGCAGCCCGAGCAGACCAATAAGCTACCAAGATTGTGGTGATTTCTATCGGGTGCCCTAGGACCCCAATGCACGCAGGCAGGCGTGCGCGCGCACACACACACACTACCACGGGACACAAGCGCAGCCCTGATCCTGACCCGCACTTGATTACCTGTCTTGTCCGTGGTTCCGCTTTCCACCAGCATCCGCAACAGCCCACACAGGGTCCTGGTGGCCTCGGTCTGCATGACCTCAGCGTGGACCCCGGCGGAGAGGCACAGAGTTTGCAGTAAGTTAACGGTGCTGGTCAGCATCATGGCGGTGGGGTGCATGTTCCGTTCACATTGCTCAGCTTCTGAAAAAAACATCAGAATAAGAGACTGCTCCCAACAGAACTGGAAAATGTGCCTGCGTATAATTTAAGGGAGTTAACGTCGCAGTCTTCTTTTTACTGTGGAGAGGGAAGCAGCTCTTTGCAAGAAAAGGTGCAATTCCAGATGCAGTAGATGCTCACCCTAATCATCTCTGTGCCCATCTCCTCAAAGAAAACTAGCTTTTGAAACGAGTTAAGTTTTTAAGAACCACCTCAGCACGCAGCTCAGAACGATTTCAAGGATCTGCTCTCTTAGGAAGCAACTTGTCAAATGTCAAACGCTGGCTGCTGCTGAGCCAGCTGTGTCCTTGACGGGGATGAGGTGCCCATCTCCACGGAGGGCACAGAGGCTCTGGGACTAGCAGGCGTCTGTCACTCAGCCAGCTCCCTTCTACTCTGAACTCGTGAGGGAAGCTCCAAGCAGAGGCTGCGAGGAGGGCTGCTAGGCCTGACACTGTGCAGTCAGAGGCAGTGACAGCAAAGCCTGTGCTGACCCCCTAGGCGGGGCCACGCGGCTTCCATGTGCTACTCCTGAGAGCCCACAGGCAGGCATCGCCGGTGCCCACGCAGAGCCAGCCTGTCCCACCTCCACGCCTGCTCTCTGCTGGGCTCAGACTCTCCGGTTTCCTCTCCTAACCAGGAAAGTCCCTTTAGAAGCTGGACCATGCTGCACACACGGCCGGCACCTGAGCCCCGCCAAATCAGGGCTGGCCTCCCGGACCGTCCTACCAAGACCAGCCATGAATGCTTCTCTCACATCCCAAGGTCTTCTGGATGCATCTAGAAAAACGTGACAAAGCCCTCCTCCCACAACCCTCGATTTCCTTACATGGGACTAAACTTTCTGGGGTCACTGCAAACTCTCACCCCTGCATCTCTCCAAGCAATCAGTACTGACAGCAGCATTCCGAGGACGGGTGAGGGGAGGGGCAGGCCCGCCCACGCTGCCCGGGCGCCGCCCTGACCAGGCCCGCCTGCCCCACTGCACTGTCTCAGCCGGAGCAGGCGGCCTGTCCCGACCTCAGCGGTGCCCAGAGCCAGGCTGCACTCCTGCAGCAAACACCAGGGGCTTGTTCAGCCTGGGCTTCAGGGGCAAGCCCGCAGCTACCGAGCGGCGTGCGGGTGAGCGCTGCCAGGGCCCAGGCCCGGCGGGAAGGCTCCGTCCCCAGCGCCCACCTGGATCGTCCTCCGTGTCCGAGTCCTCGGCCGAGGGCTGCGCGGCGGCCGGCAGCTCCGCCAGCTTGAGGTCGTACTTCCCCTCCTTCCCCATCCTGTAGGAGTTGGTGCTGCCCGTGTCCCACTGGACCCTGATCCAGCCGTCCTCTCCCAGCTCACCGATCACACGGCCGAGGCCGGGAGGAGGTCCGTCCTGGGGAAGCCACAACGTAGACAGGTAAGGGGCGCGTGCTGTCCCATCGCAGACGCTGCCTGAGAGCGGCTACGTCACTAGGCAGGCGCTCTGAACCGCTGGCAACACGCACCGCGGCCATCCCCGCTGGACACGGACCAGGACACTTCTCACGCACCTTTCCCAAGAGGGACACAGGAGACGTGCCCTCTCAGTGCCACCCTCACTGGGCAACATGGGGACAAGGCTGGCCAGCCCGGCCCTGGCGCCTGGTCCTTGGCCCCTCACTGCCTCACGAGGCTCCACAAGACCAGAAATCGGAAACCAGCACCTGTGTCCCCTCTCACTGTGTGTTCCCCCTCCGGCTCTCGCTTCTGCGTGAGCTGGTTCCAGGAGGCCCTGCTCGGTCGTTCTGGGCACGTGGACTCCTGACGTGGCTGAGGAGGCCTGGCTTTAGTGGGCTGAGAAAGCCTGGGCGTGACAAGAACCCTCCCACACCCTCGGAAGGTGGGCACTGTCCTTAGCTGGAGACCAGGGCGATGACAGACTCTAGCCCCCAGAGCTCCACCTGGGGAGGCCTGATGGACACGGGGGCCATGTGCCACAAGGAGAAGCAGAAAGGAGACCACCATGGCCGGAGATGGCCGGGCGGGGCACCGAGGGGATGCATGGCCACCAGCTCGCAGAGGCAGCTGGGTGTCGCTGCAGAGCTTCGGGGACACGACTGCTCAGACGAGGGTCCTGCACTCCTCATTCTCGCCCTTGTCCTGGCTGCACCTCGACTGGAGCCTGTGCCAGGGGCTCCAAAAGCAAACGCCACCCCTCGTAGACCTGGCCCTGCACGAGGTGCCCCACGCAGGACGCTGTTCTCTCTACTGTCCTGACTCCGTGCACCTGGCATCGGGAATGAACAGCTGGGTCTGTCAGCTGCACACGTCCCGAGTGAGCAGACATTTGCTCCATTGGCGAGAGCGAGACAGTCAGGTTGTGAAAAACTGAGGACAGTGCAGCCACTGCACCTAAGCAAACCTGAGTACCTGGTCGCCCCACTTCCAGTCCACACCCCGCATGACCCTGGTTCCGATCTTCATCATGGCGGCCAGCTCGGGCCCCGAGACAGGGAGCTGCGTGGGGGCCGTCTCCTTCCTTGTCTCCTCCAGGACGGTGGCAGAGGCGCCTCGGGCCAACACGTTCCCGTCTTCCTCAACATTGTCACCACTGGGGCCTGTCAGGGCATCAGAACCAGCAGCCAGTCAGTACCCAATTAATACATATGACAAAGATAAAAATTATCTTGTTTTAAAATGATTTCAGCAAAAGGGAGAGAGACAGAAACAACGAGAGTTGCTGATGGGCATCTGCAGTGAGTCCTGACCCAGCTGCTGCCTCCTGCACGCCCCCTACTGGGGATTGAGCCCACAACCTGGGAATCTGCCCTGACTGGGAACTGAACCGAGATCTCCTGGATCTGTGTTCAATGCTCAACCTCTAGTCACGCCGGCCGGGCAAAGATAATAATTTTAAACAATTCACTGTGTGCCATGGCCGGTGAGGCACAGTGGTTAGAGTGTTGGCCTGCACACAAAAGGGTCTGAGGTTCGATCCCCAGCCCTTGTTGGGGCGCATATGGGAGGCAATCAACCTATGTGTCTCTCTCACATCGATGTTTTTCTCTCTCCCTCCCTCCTTCCCTTTCACTCTAAAACTCAATGGAAAAAATATCCTCAGGTGGGGATTAACAAAAAAGAGAGATAAAAGATATAAAGGCAAAGTGATTAAGTTTGAAAAATTCGCATCACATTTTTACTAGAATAGACAAACAAAAGATAACCACTTAAATGTCTAAGAGAAAAATTAACTTTAATTATGGTGCTGCGTAGGAGAGACCTCAGAGAAGGCGAGACCGCCAGCCTCAGAGTCCCACGTGCAGGGTGGGCCTGCACTGGCCTCTGGGAACCTGGATTGTGGGAGGGGCCCCCACTCCCCGACTGAGGCCTCGCTGTGCTAAACTCTTTGCACAGACAGTGTGGTCTCTGCCAGAACCTGCTTCCTCCTGGGTCTGGAACTTGGGTACGTCCAGGCAGAGACCAGCCCCGTGGGGACCCTGGGCGCCAGGTCTCTGATGAGCTTCCCAGAGGGACAGCAGTTCCTGTGTTGTCACAGTGCGTGTCCTGTGGGCTCCACTGGGACAGGACCTGTGTCTGGTTCTCCCAGACCTCGCCCAGGCACCTTTTCCCTTTGCTGAGCTGCTCGGTGTCCTCAATGAGATAAGTCTTGGTTCTGAGTGTGCCTCTGCCTCTTGTCCTGTGAGGCCTCCTGGTGCGTCACTGAGCCTGAGGGTGGTTTTGGGGACCCGACAGGGGTGGCAGTGGTGGAACTCTCTAGAACCCTGTTTGGTAAAAGAAAGACTAAAGGAGCAGGCATGAAGAATGTATTGGTCCCTGTGGCTATGGAATCACCATAGTATAAAACAGGAGCTGAGCTGTCAGAAGCAACATGCACCAGGGTGTGAAAACAGTAAGTCCACCCCAGGAGTGGCTGGTCTGTGCTCCGACTGCTGGTGGCCTTGCTGGCCTATGTGAGGGGAAACGCAGGCCTAGGAGCTCCTTTGGTCTTTAGTCTCTGCTCTAGGTAGGAGGGGAAGTCCCCAAACGTCATTCCCAAAGGTAGGCCTGGGAGGTCAAAAATGTAGAAAGTTTGTGCTCCTCTCTCCTCTGAGAGCGAGAACAGGGGTCCATCAGCCCCAGGGCAGGAGTGAAGCTTCAGATGAACTGGGGGACCGGTCTTCTTCCAGGCCGGCAGGCCTCCATGAGGCCCTGGGGGCAGGGGTGCATTCCTGCCGGGCCCCACCCCTCCCTGTAATGTCAACCCTGGAAATGCTGAGTTTACTGGGAAGGCTTTGAAGACATTTGCAAGTAGAAAAAGGGGATCATTCCTGAAGTGGCTCAGTGGGGTTGTTCTGGGTCTTTTTAATGTTTTATTGATTTTAGAGAGAGAGGAAGGGAGAGGAAGGGAGAGGGAGTGAGAGAGAGAAACATCAATGATGAGAGAGGAACCCTGATCCGCTGCCTCCTGCACGCCCCCCAGTGGACACTGAGCCTGAAACCCGGGTGTGTGCCCTGACCAGGAATCAAATCAGTGACCTCTTGGTTCACGGGTTAACGTTCAACCACTGAGCTGCACTGGCTGGGCTGTGGCTTAGTGTTTTGTGGCCACAGTATCTGGACATATACATGTAAAATGAATATAAAATACATGAAAGAAAAGCCCTGGCCTGGGAAGAGGCTGATACGGGTGTGAATGTGTGGAACACAGGCTGGAATTTAAACTCCAGAGCAGGGTTAGCAGAAGCCCCATAACCAATGATTTGTGCCATGGCTTTTACCTACTGGACCCTCTGAGAAAAGGGATACAACAAGAGAGGCAATTTCTCCACGAAAATACACTGCTCAGACTTTTAACAGTATCAGTCCTTAGTTGCTATGAGGCGTTAAGACATGGGACGGGTGACTCACAGAGGCTGCCTGTTCCCAGCCTGGTGCGTGCTTCTGACAGGTCATGTGGGCACAAAGACCACAAGATCAAAGAGCAGAGGAAAGCTTGGTCTGCACTTGCCCTGCAGCATCTCGGGATTCAGGCAAAGAGCATCGCAAGCCAACCAGATCCACACGTGTGCAGAGCAGGACCCGAGGCTCGAGAGGAGCCAACACACATGCTTCTCAAGGGCGCAGGTCCTTCCCCAGCGCAGACCACAGATTAGGCCACAAAGCACGTCTCTGACAGAAACAGGCAGATACACAAAGCACCTTCTCTGACCATAATGAACCGGAAGTAGACATTCAAACCGGAGGAAAAGTGGAAAGTTCACAGGTACGTGGAATTAACCCACAGACACTAAACCAACCAAAGAAAACAATCACAAGAGAAATGAAATATTTTGAGATGAATGAAAACAAAAATGCAGCATACCAAAACTTGGGGGATGCAGCAGAAGCAGTGCTGAGGGGGAATTTACATCTACAGAAGCAAACATTACCAATGGAGCCTTGGCGGTGTGGCTCAGGGGTTAGGGTTGGCCATCTGAACCAAAGGGTCAAGGGTAAGCACCTCGGCTGCAGGTCTGACCCCCGGCCCAGCTGGGGTGGGAGTGGGAGACACCAGTCGACGTCTCTCTCACACCAGTGTTTCTCTCTCCCTCTCTCCCTCCTCCCTCCCTTCCACTCTCAAATAACTCAACTGAACATCTGGGTGAGCTGGGAAAGAACAAAGTAAACGGGAAGTCAGAGGAAAGAAGGAAAGAGTAAGAGTAGCACAGAGATGAGTAGAGAGCAGGGGAAAAACAGTCAACAAAATCAAAAGTCGGGTCTTTGGAAAATATCAACAAAACTGAAATATTTTAGGTACATTAAGGAAAAAAGATACAAACAACTAAAACCAGAAATGAAGCGGCGATAATACTACTGAGTCTACAGAAATAAACATGACTGACTATAAGACAGTTCTGGGAATAACTGTGGCCAGTAAGCTAGCAAACCCAGATAAAACGGATAGATTCCTAAAAACACACAAATTACGTGAATTGACTCGACAAGAAGCAGAGAATGTGCACAGACCTACATAACAAGAGGCTGTATCAGTGACCCAAAACCGTCCCAACAAAGGATGCTCCGCACCAGGTGGGTTAGCTGCTGAATCCTGCCCAGTGTTTAAAGAGTTAGCGCCAACTCCCTAATTCTTCCAGAAACAGAACAGCAGGGAACAGTCCCCACTCACTCTAGGAGGCCAGCATTTCCCCGACAGCAAAACCACAAAACGCTGATTAAAGAAAAGAGCTAAGACCTGAACAAAAGCCACCCCAAGTGCGTGGAAGGAAAGGCTCAATGTCGCTAGGAGGACAATACTCCCCAACACAACCTACAGCTTCAGTACAATCCCCAGAGAACACCAATGGCCTTTTTGTAGACATGAGAAGCCAGCCCTGAAACTCATTCGGAAATGCAAGGGACCAAAGTACTGAAAATAATCCTGACGTAGAAAAACAAAGCTGGAGGACTCACTTGTCAGTTTCAAAACTTACCTCAAAGCGACAGTGTTGAAAACAGTGTGGTCCTGGTACAATGACAGACACACAGACCAGCAGATCAGAACAGAGTCTAGAAGGAAACCCAACTATCGATGGTCAAATGAAGACTCTTTTCTACAAATGGTACTGGGACAACCGGAAAACTCAAAAGATAAAGTGAACCCTTACCTCACACCATGTTTAAAAAATTACCTAACTATGAACCACAGACCTAAGTATGAGAACTTAATGTTTTTAAGCTTCTTTTAAAAACAGTAAGCCTAAAGAAGAAAACATAGTGGGTGATCCTCACGACCGTGAATCTGACAACAGTTTCTTGGACATGACGTCAAAGGCAGAAGCAGCAAAAAAATATACACACACACTGGGTTTCATCAAAATTTCAAACTATGTATCAAAGTAAAACAGGGCCCACCAAGTGGGACAAAATACCTTCAAATCACGTAACTGATAACAGCATGGCATCTGGAACAGGTAACGGACTCCTATAACTCAACCACACCAACATCCCAGTTAAAAATGGGCAAAGGATCTGAACACTTACTTTTCCAATAAAGACAGACAAATGGCCAGCAAGCACATGTAAAGAGGCTCAACATTATCTGTCACTAGTGAGATGAAACCACAATGAGATGCCACCACACTCCTGCTGCGGGGGCCTGCATCCTCAGACACCGAGAGTACCTGGTGCTGGGCGGACGTGGACAAGCCGGAGCCTGTCCACCGCTGGTGGGCACTGACACGGTGCGAAGCTGTGGGAGCCCAGCAGCACTCAGCAGTTAAGCACAGGATCTCCATGTGCCCAACTCCACTCCAAGGTACGTGACAAAAGAACGGAAACAGGCGGGTGGATGGGTACACAGAACGCAGCATGTTCACACAGTGGTAATGTCTTTAGCCTGCAGCACTGACACAAGCCAGAGAAATCATCCGCAAACAGGCTGACACCTGTGTGGTTTCATGGACGTGAACTGCCCAGAACAGGCAAACCCAGAGCCATGAAGAGTAGGTTTGCTGCTGCAAACAGCCAGGGAGCAGGGAGCCCGGAGTCGCCGCTACACGTATGGGTTTCCATCTGGGGTGGAGGGTTATGGAACCAGACGGTGGGAACGTGTGCACAGCTTGGTGGGCGTGCTCCGTGCCCTTGAAGTATAAACTTAAAGTGGGGACACGGTCAGTTTCACGTTATGTTTTACCTACCGATGAGCCGCAGCGCCGTCTGCGCGAGGGCGAGGGTGCCTGAGTTCAGCAGCAGGCTGAGGTTGTGGGCGCCGTGCTGCAGGGTCAGCATGCTGAGCATCACCAGGAGGAAGCGAGCCTGCGGGGTCGTCCCCAGGCTGGGGCCCGAAGGGTTCTCGTTGGTGACCGTCTGCAGGGGGACAGGCTGGATACCTGGAAAGCATTGGCGCCCACCTAAATTTTTCGTGCGTGGAAACAAGTACATGATGCAGAAAGCTTTGGCAATTTAACAACTCTGCCTGCTTTTCAGTGGATCTCCATAGTGTGCACATCAGGGAGCCTGTGTTTCGTGGCACTAACGCTACCAGCGTCATCCACGCTACCACACGCAGCCACCTCCGTCTGGCTGCAAACCCTACCTGGCTGCTCCCAGCATCGTGCTGACTCACTCCACTTCAAACACAGCAGAGTTCACGTCCCTGCCACACACACAACCCTGGCATTGCTCTGTGGATGCTCACTTATGACCTAAGAAATTGGGAATTAACACAGGGTACCCATTTCAGGGTGTATGGTGTAAGTGACACCGTGAGGAGGTTAAGATGTCAAAGCTCTGTATTAGGAGACTACGAGACTGTGTCTTCTGACAAATTTGGGAAGCTATGTTTAGAATCTGAGAAAGTTTGAAGCAGCTTAGATGATCATTCTAATGGAGAAAGTTATTAAAGTCTTTCCAAGAGCAAACATGGGCATCTGCAGGTTTCCACAGCACACAATGAAGAGCCAGCCTACGAAGCAGCGCCAATGTGATCACCGACGTTCCTGCGGCAGCGATTTTAATGCAGCCTGTTAACCATGAGGTTGTTTAACTCACCAAGCTCTTTAAACTTGGCATTTGCATCCATCAGAATGTTTCGGATGTTCTGAACCGCCCAAGCATACAGCTTGCCAAACGTCACTTCCAGCAGCATCCGGTTAAAAGGTGGGATCAAATCGACATCCTTCAAGCAATCCGTAAGGGGCTCCCTTTCACACAGACAGAGGAAATTTTACTGAGACTGTGGTCAGGCTCTAACCTACACAGAACGTGTGGACGCCACCACCTCCCGACTGGGAAGGAACGTTCCCGTTTTACCCTATGTCGACCCCCTCAGGGATAAGCCGCTGCCATCCACAGAACATAGCGTACTGCACGGACGGAAGCAGGAAGTTCTTGGCCGCCAGCTTTAATATTGTGTCTATCCCCTCCAGGCGGACCTCCGCTCTCTCCAGCTGCAAAACACCAATGCACGCAGGTGAGTGTCATGGGTCCTATGCGAGGCCAATGGTCCCCGCACAAGCCTCACCTGCTTCAGGAGGCACCGCCTCATCTTCTCCACATCCACCGGCTCCTCCCTGAGGGCGAACTCGGCGATGGTGGTGAGGAGCGCTGACTGCGGGTGGAGGCCCTGCACGTTCTGCTTCAGCCACTTGTACCTGTGAACACCCGTGACTGTGCTCAGCAGAGGCTGCCACTTATCCTGACAAAGGAACCATGCGCACCGTGAGTTCACCTGCTGATGTTAACGTGCTCTAAGACAGTTACTCCAGTAAAACATAAGTGTCCACAGGTGTAAACCGGTATTTTAAACTTAGGAACTAACTTATAGTAAAAGTAACTAGGTCATAAATAGCTTATAAATGAATTTTAAGTGTCCATACTTGATATACTCTGGAAAGCACTTAACTACGTGGCATAAAGTTAAATTATCATCCATATTAACAGCCTCAGGGGCCAGGACAGTTTCTGAAGGAGACATTCAATGAATGAACGAACGGATGGTGAATGAGTGAATGGATGGATGGATGGATGGATGGAGGATGGATGGATGGATGGTGAATGGGTGAGTGAATGGATGGATGGATGGAGAATGGATGGATGGATGGAGAATGATTGAATGGATGGATGGATGGATGGTAAGTGAATGGATGGAGGATGGTGAATGAGTGAATGGATGGATGGTGAGTAAATGAATGGATGGATGATGAATGTGGGAATGGATGGATGGGGAATGGATGGATGGTGAATGAGTGGATGGATGGATGGATGGTGAATGACTGAATGGATGGATGGATGGATGGATGGTGAGTAAATGAATGGATGGATGGTGAATGAGGGAATGGATGGATGGGGAATGGATGGATGGTGAATGAGTGGATGGATGGATGGATGG